TGTCATGCATGTTATATAAAGTGTAGTGCATCTCTGTCTTATCTGCCACTACGTAACTGTGCCCAAAATGTGATATTGATAATTTCAGCTCCTGAGTTAAGGTGATCGTTTTGGAATGAATGGTCCTGGTTGAAAGAAAGTATGGGAAATTTCAGGTAGTTGATTTTTTTGGGATGAATTATGAATGGTCATGGAAGAAAGAAAGAATGTGTATGAAGTCAGAACGAATTTGTCATCAGTAATTCACCAGTAGCTACTTAACTAATAATACTTTCTGCTGTCGTTTCTTACCACTGAATTTTCACCTTCTTAATTGTATAGTTGCTATGTATATACATGTGTATATATATTATACTAGCTGTACCCGTAGACTTCGTCCGCGTGGAATTTAAATATATTTTGCTAAAATAAAATATTTTTTCAAAAATAAAAGTAAGTAAACCTATGTTATTACATCAGCTACCTGCCAAAAGAAGTCCCGTCAAAATAGGTCCAGCCATTTCGGAGATTAGCCGGAACAAACAGACGGACAGACAAAAATTTTAAAAATTGTTATATTGGTATATGTACCTTATTTATATTACGCATGGAGTTAAAAACGGTTATTTCAAAATTACAAACAGACACTCCAATTTTATTCATATGTATAGATGTATAGATTATATCATTATACATTTATTTTATATATAAATTATATATGTTTCTTTGTCTTGTCTCATCACAAGAAGAACGAGCAAGAAACTTGTGTGTTGCTCTTTTATGTAATCATTATAACTTTACATTTCCAATTCGAAACGTGTGATTACAAACCACCAACTAGCACCAATTTATTAGCAGACGGGCCGTATGCTTGTTTACAACCGTAGTAGTAAAAACAAATTTCTTATCTCTCCTCTGTCTCTTATATAATCAGCATCTAGATGTGCTGGCTATTGACTGTTGACTGTCTCATATAAAGAACATCGCAAAAATGCGAAAATTTCTATATGAAATAACACAGTGTAGTTCTGTGACATGAGACCTTAGACTATGCTAATACTACTATAGCGTTATCTGTAACTATTAATAGTGGAACGAAACAATGAACATGTCATCTTATAAGATTAGAAAAACTGTTTGATATTAAATTTATTTGTATAATTAAAAAGGTGACAAGGCGGAAATGTTCTAGTAAAATGTTAATGTTAAAAATAGTTTATAATGTGATATTGACTACCTAGTCTAGATGTTTACACGTCGCCTAACTTCCGATGGTCGTGGATTCGATTATTCGTATAGTAAAAATAGTCATGTATATGACTAGATATTGTCTATGTATGTTATGTACTAGCTGTAACCGCGACCGCGTAAAATTTCTATATTTCTAAATTAAAGTTAAAAATAAGTAGTTTAAGTTACTCCTTATTACATCATCCTGCCAATAAAAGTCCAGTCAAAATCGGTCCAGCCATTTCAGTGGTCGAAAAATCTAAAAACTTTTTAGCTCACGCTATAAACCAGCTTCATGGTGTCAGCTTGGGGAAAGTCCCATAAGGTAAGGTTATAAAAGCCTACTGTAACCATGCTGGACAACCGGTTTTGCATATATATTTCGAGTTTTCCTCATACTATATAAAGGAATGTATACATATTATGTTGGCATATAAAAAAAAGTAAAAACCGTCCGTACAATAAAACATTGTTACGAGGCCATTTTTTGCATTAAAAAAACTTTAGTCTTCACAAATAATTGTTAGGTTTAAAAAAATTAACAACAGTTTTATAAGACAGAAATTTATTATAATAATTATTTCCGGAGTAACTTCTAAGCAAATGTGAAGTTTAATTTTTTTTCATATATTGTTTTGAATGATAAAGTAGATGTCAAATTATCAAGATACCATTATCTTGTGACGTCCGTGATACCACTGACGCGTTGCCATTCCGGATTTTTTTTTATTGGTTTGTTTGGGCTATTGTCAGGTGCATGAACCTGTAGCTGCGACACATATCTATTGTGCTCGCCCTTTTCAAAGATCGCTACCTAGACCCGTCAGGAACAAGAATTGAAGGATATTCTTAGGAGCGATGGTTTTTATCTCCTCAGGAAAGAGTGTAAACTTTCCGAAGGAGATATTTCGTTTATGCATAAGTGGGCTACAGCCATATAAGATGTGTAGTGGCGTTTCCTCTTCAGTTTAGCTATTTTTTTTCTATTGTGCTCGCCCTTTTCAAAGTTCTCTACCTAGAGTCGTCAGGGACAAGAATTGAAGGATGTTCTTAGGAGCGATGGTTTTTATCTCCTCAGGGAAGAGTGCAAACTTTCAGAAGGAGATATTTCGTTTATGTATAAGTGGGCTACAGCCATATAAGATGTGTAGTGACGTGTTCTCTTCAGTTAGTCAAATTTTCCGTCAGGGACAATAATTAAAGGATATTCTTAGGAGCGATGGTTTTTATCTCCTCAGGAAAGAGTGTAAACTTTCCAAAGGAGATATTTCGTTTATGCATGAGTGGGCTACAACCACATAAGATGTGTAGTGACGTTTCCTCTTCAGTTTGGCAAATTTTTTACCAGAGTACTAAGATGTCATGCCTCGTATTCTGTGATTTCACTACCTAATCTGCGCCCTACAATCGAAACAGCTTACAAAGCAAGCTGCTTGGTGGCTGAAATAGGTGGGTACTACCGCATATAACTTACAAAGTCGACCTCTGCAGCATAGTGTTATGTGCACTATATTTATGGTCATCACTTCATCTAAGAAATAGTAACTCTTATTTAATAAAAAATAGTTTTTAAATGTCATATTGACCGGTAGTCTAGCGATTAGCACGCTGACTTATTTCCGATGGTCGCGGATTATATTCCTCGCACAATAGAAATTTGTATTCAAGAATATGATTGGGTTTTATCTATGTATATTATGATGGTGTTTAAATGTGACTGTGATCATCTCGATAGTCTAGCGATTAGCACGCTGCCTTACTTCCAATGGTCGCGGTTTCGATTCCTCGCTCAGTATAAATTTGTGGGTATTGTCTGTGTATGTATGTATGTATTCCCAAAAAATATATATGCCTAAGTATTTAGTAGTTCTAGGTACTAGATAACTGGGTCATTGAACTTCCTAAAATATGGCCGAGCGCAGTGAGGGCTGGCTCATACGTCATACTCGTGAACGGGTTCTGCTTGTAGGGACTATTCTGCTCTAATCGACTGATTTAATCTTATTGTGTATTTATATTTGACCCTAATAAATTAGTGCTAGTTGGTAGTATGTATTCACGAGTTTTGACTTGAAAAATGTAAACTTACAATGATTATTTAAAAGAGCAACACACAAGTTTCTTGACGTTCTTCTTGTGATAAGAAGCTTCCCGAATGAGCGGTAGAATAAAAAAAATGTTGTGACTTGTGTTGTCGAAAGTGCTTAAATTAAATATATTTGAATAAAGGATTTTCTATTCTATTCTATTCTAGCACCTATAAAACAATTTCTGTTTAGCTTAGGACTAGAGGGCGCTGTTTGATCCTTGTGTTCTGGATTATTATTATTGAATGAATGAAATGAAAAACACTTGTTCCTCTCACAGAAAGATACAATAGTTACATAAATTAATATGTACATCAAATATAAAAAGAAAAACAACATAATTATAATATAGAGGTAACAATGGGCGGCCTTATCGCTAAATAGCGATTCCTTCCAGGCAACCAGAATAGAGAGGAGTGATTAGACTGTGTCTGGTCGATAACAATTAGTTATTGGATGTACAATTTACATATCATATCTTTTTATTCTTATATTATTATTATTATATAAATGATTTTGATGTTAAAATTCAGAATATCATATTAAACCATACCATTCAAACATATTCGCACTGTTTTGCGGAGTTTTGCGAACGCAACACAAGCATGTAAGGTCGACGGGTGAATAAACTGCACCTAATTGAATAAAAATAAATTCTTATAACACGAATTGCGTAGTTATTCGGTCAAGGTGATTGAAAGCATCATTAAACATAAATTTGACCTTATCAGTTGTAATGGTAATAGATTTTTTTTATGTATGACTAGCTGTTCCCGCGACTTCGTCCGCGTGGAATTTAACTTTAATTTACTAAAATAAATGTAGCTTAAGTTATAATACTCTTTACTACATCACCTACCTGCCAAAAAAGTTCCGTCAACATCGGTCCAGCGATTTCAGAAATTAGCTGGAACAAACAGACAGAGAGACAGACAGACAAAAATGATAAAAAAAAATTGTATTTATATTCATATGCATGTAGTAAAAAACTGTTATTTCAATATTACAGACACTCCAATTTTATTTATATGTATAGATATGTACCTCTAAACTAACATTTATACAAATACCTGAACAATATCTCACGGTGCAATTAAAAAACAGTTCTGTGTAGTATATACTCATTTTAAAACATAATACTTAGGTAACAAGGAATCGTATGATAGCAGAGAATGTGATGTTCATGATTATACTAATACGACAGACAGACAGACAAAAATTGTAGAAAATATTATTTTGGTGTATGTACCGTATTTATATTCCTATGGATGTTGTAAAAAACAGTTATTTCCAAATTACAAACAGACACTCAAAATTTATTTATATGTATAGATGTATATATAATGATGATTAGCTTTGTTTGTAAAACGATTGCATTAAAAACAAACATTTTAAGTGAAGGTTACAATTTTAAATACTTTTAACATGTGTTTATTAATATATTTCTGTAACATAAAAATATCATTACAATAAGCAAATCATGGAAGTTACAATTAATTACAAAAATAATATTAATTTGTTATCCCACAGATACCATATAAAAAGAGAACATGACAAAAATCTAATAGAGAAATAGCAAGTAAAAAGAGTTAGACCGTTTCTATACAGGGATCAATTATAATTGTGAGCTCAAGAAATACTTCTGACCGTCTTGAGGAACAACCATTATAAGAGCACAGATGAACTACTGGTGATTTAACGTCAAAAGCCTACGTTATTAGTCACATACTGACGCAGATGTTTCTCAATCAAACGAATAAACTACAGATATTATTCAAAATAATGAAACATAACTCTCATTCTAATATTTGACAATTGAACAAACTATAGAATTACTCAAAATAATGAAACATGACTGCTATATTCGTTTATGAAGACGCTAAGAAGAAATAATAAATATATAAAGTAATAATAAAATATAGAATTATCATCACAGCAGAGAAGAGAACAGAAATTTCAAAATGGTGCACAATACGGTAACGAAATCGACATCATCACCGGCCAATGACGCGCCGAAAGAAGACAAATTTGCAAAGCTCGTCGGCCATTTTGGAAAATGGCAGTTTGTCGTTTTTTCATCTGTATTTTTGGTGAAACTGTCATCTGGATGGGTGCAAATGGCAATATTATTTCTAACACCTAACTTCACGTTTTGGTGTACTGGATTCGAGGATAATTCAACATTAGATATAAAAAATATGACTTGTTACAAAAACTGTATAGAATATGACTACGATACGAGTCCATTTGAAAATACAATAATTTCGGAATGGGATTTGGTTTGCGAGAGAAACTGGCTGGCGAGTTTCACACAGACGATTCTGCAGTTGGGCATTTTGATTGGAAGTATCGTGTTTGGCTTTCTGTCTGATAGGTAAGTTGTTCTTACATACCTATAGACTAGCTGTCCCGGAAAACGTTGTTTTGCCATATAAATTAATAACGCTATAAAAAAATAGGGGTTGATGATAGAAGGGTGAAAATTTAGGATTGTATGTATTTTGTATGTTGTATCATAAAAAATAGAAATAAAAATTATGTCTAAAAAATAAAAAAAAAATTAGGGGTGGACTACCTCTAACATTTAGGGGGATGAAAAATAGATGTTGGCCGATTCTCAGACCTACTCAATACGCTCACAAAATTTCATGAGAATCGGTCAAGCCGTTTCGGAGGAGTATGGGAACGAAAACTGTGCAATTATGGCAAAATATTATTAATTAAAAAAATATCAATAATATAGGTACTAATTAATTATCATTGCCTGTTTTCTTCTATGTGCACATTTAAGTAGAAAAAAAAGTAGTAGTAGTAGTATAAAAAAAGTTTATTATTATTACTATCTGTGCAATCCCAAATGAGAATTCAAATGCCTGCCATTTTAGTTTTTAGTGATCATTTTCCTGTTGAGATTGGCCACTCAAACTTGTATAAACTGGAAGTCGAATATAACCTGTTATACGTTGAGGATAAACATTCTAATTGAAACTATTACAAGGACTAAAGTTGTTTTAGACTTAGATAGAAATGCTACAAAGTCCACATAAGTATTTTAAATATTTATTTGAATGCCGAAGAAAGCGTGACTTGCTATTGATAAGGCAGTAGTAAAATTACTAGATTCTTCCGTGTCGTCTTCAAGAAAAATACAATTTGTCACCACTCCTTTTCATTACAAGGATATCATAACACTAAGGACACGACTATAGCGGGCAGAGATGGATAACACGAAATAAGACTTTATAGTAATCCGTCGTGATATGCGTAGCCAGAATCCTCTTCTTATTACGTGAGATCCATCGCAAGTAGTTGGACAATAATAGGTTATGACAATGGTGATGATGATGATGATGGTGGTGTTGATGGTGGTGGTGGTGGTGATGATGACGATGATGATGATGATGATGAAAGTTTAAGTACTTTGATTATATTCATGATTCAAGCGTCGGCAGATTCGTTATTCATAGTTTCGTTATAAATACAGTGGTATAACAAGGCAACTGCAGTAACTTTTTTATTCGTAATTTAATTCAGATCCTATATTGATAAATAATAAATAGATTATTAAAAGTAATATATTTAATAGTTTATATTATTTTATTTAATTCCGATCCTATTAGCATGTCAGAGTGTAAATATACAGTGTCAAATCCTGATATAACTGGAGTACGATTCTGAATAGTCAACACTAGGCTTCCAAGTTACATATACCCGACTCTATTAATTGCCTGTGTATGGTTCATTTAGAGACGAAACATGCGTTGCAATATGGCTGTAGATCCAATAACGGTCGGAATGATGATCATAATCAATTATATATATTCAACACCAATTTTCATTATACATAATCATTTAGAGTGCATCAAATTACTCCAAGCACAGAATCCCCACAAGACATGACTGCTGATGTTCCCCTAATTACTTTACCTAGAAATTATTTAAACTAGGAGTCACTAAATATAGAAATAAACTATATCGTTACATGGTACACTGCCATGTGTGTATGTATGTGTGCATGAGTGCGTAGCGATTTCTATGTTGATTATCGCATGCCTCTTACTTGTTATACTGTAATTATTATATAAAAAAAAAACATTTATTCAAAAGAGCAACAAACAAGTTTCTTGCTCATTCCTCTTGTGATGAATCTGCATTCCGTATGAGTGGTAGAACCAAAATATGACTATTCAAAAGTGCTTGTAATGAGTATATTTGAATAAAGACCTACAGTATCCTATGCAAATGTATAGTGTAATGCTTCCAGTAGTGTTGATCAGAATTTCCGACTGAATATATGTATATATATAGATCCATTAAGCAATGGAATGGACTTCCCCAAAACAACTCGTAATTCGATAACATATTAAAAGGTAATATAATAGTCTTCTTATTTACTATCAATGGTTTGACGTCATTATCTTGTGGCACGTGTATAAATGTCAACACTACATAGGAAGTAAGAGTGGCACACTTGAGTTAACTTTAACTGATTACAATCAGTTAAAACTAACTCAAACATATGGCAGAGTGACTACTGTCGCATACATAAAGGTGCATTTTATGTAAGTGGAATTATATACAAACTGCCCATCGGACGAAAAATTGCAACTGTCTTATATGTATAGATTTTCAGCTGATTTTCAGTTGGGCTTACATTTTTTTATGGGTTATTATAGAATGGTGCATCCGCCTGCGCTAACGGTTTACGCTGGCGGGGCACCAGTGGAAGATGATAAGATGAGTATGAAGTCAGGTCAGGAGTTCAGGTTTGTGTTCAATGCAGTTGAAAATGAAGAAACAACTGTTAAAAGAGCCACAATGCAATATTGATTGGACAAATTGCATGTTAATATGCAAAAATGTTCGCCGGAGGGTGAAATTATAAGGGTGCTGCTTTTTTTAGTTTTTGTCTCGCCTCCAGAAAATTAAGATTCGGGGCTGCATTCCGGAGAACTCTCATGCGTCCACGCCCTACAATTTCTTCTGGGTTGGCCCTGTGTTGAGAACCAGTTGTAATCTATTATATACTCAACTCTAACGTCACATGGAGAACAAATGTCATCACCTCCCTTCCTTGGGCTACTCCAACAAATACTCCAATAGACTATTGCTATTGAGTAAAAACAACATATGCATGATGGGGCCCTCACAGGACACTGCAAATTAAACAAGCATATGACAAAACTAGGCCTATGCACAAAAAAAATCTGCAGATTTGCCAAACTGAATTGGAAACGCCCCTACACATCCTATGTGGTTGTAGCCCACGCATGGATAAACGAAATATCTCCTTTGGAAAGTTTATATTCTCTCCTCCTCCTTCTCGGTTAAAAACCATCGCTCCTAAGAATATCCTTCAATTCTGGTCCCTGACGGGTCTAGGTAGCGAACTTTGAAAAGGGCAAGCACAATAGATCTATGTAGGTCGCAATGTTACAGGTCCATGCACCTGACAATAGCCCAAACAACCCAATCTGCTTTCCTTCATACCACATGATTTGCCTTTATCACTATAATTTTCTCTTCCATTCATCTCTTTTACGAATGTAGACAATTCATTTCCACGTGGCAATTCGTATATATATAATGGCATTATGTTATCAGTAAGTATATTAAAATTCAATGCCAACATTTTCCACTACTTCCATTAAAATGTATGCGATAATTTCATGTATACGTTTTTAACTAATTACCTTGAGAATTTTTATGAGCGAGATTACTATCCTATAATACGACAGGATTGTCATCATCATCATTGCCTTGCAGCCTCGTTGGAAATCATTGTAGTTGACTTCTGGTGAATTTACGACGGTGAATTAACCTTACTTCATTCCTATCATCTTTTACTGGTGCACCACCAATGCTTCTTTTAATGAATGAATAAATAGTGCAACCATTCATTCATTTTATCGCTAAGTTATATAAAACATAATAATAATAAATAATATTTCTTTTTTTTTATTATTTTAAATACTGCATCATCATCATCATCATCATCAGCCCTCTGTTGCCATTGCAACACTACATATTGTTTTCTAACCCTAGGTAATATAATATTTTTAGGCACCAGTTCTTTCTCTTATTAACAAAATTATTGGAGATTCACAATTAATGAGTGTCAAAAAGAATCAAAATAAGTATCTTAACCTAAACTTGGACCGTCTGATACTTCCCGTTACTGGATGTGTGTATGTTTATACTTATGAGTGAGAGAAAGAGAGATTCTTCATAATTAATAATAAGGGAAGTACAGCCGCCTGTGGTAACGCTAAATTTACGCTGGGGGACACCAGATGAATATGAATCCGGTCAGACCATCGTGGCAAATTCACCACGAATTTAACATTACGTTTTCCACATGGAGGTCACCCTGACCTGGTACATGCTAGCTATGGTGTTATTAATCCATATTACTAACAATTCCCTTCTCCCAAAATAGAGAGATTGTTCATATGTAATAACCTAATGATAAAATATTTCTTTCAGGTACGGCCGAAAAAACACGTTCCTTGCATCAATAATAATTCTAATTGCATTCTCATTTGGAGTACCCTACTCGCCAAATTACACGATATTCACGGTGCTACGCTTCTTTGTGGGATTCGGCACAGCAGGCACCATGGTCATCTCTTTCGTCATCGTTATGGAAACCATCGGACCCAAATACAGGGAGATATTTGGCTGTGTGTTCCAGATACCGTTTGTGCTCGGCCACATGAGTACACCACTGTTCGCCTACTACTTTAGATCTTGGGACACCTTTGCGTTATCTATAGCAGTGCCACAGGTTATATATTTCGGATATTTCTTCCTGTTGAGCGAGTCCCCGAGATGGTTGATAAGTGTCGGCAAAGTGGAGGAAGCAACGAAAATCGTGAAGCAAGCTGCAATTATGTAAGTTTTATCTATTTAATAAAACCAAACATTGCTCATGCTAAACGTACTCATTAATAAAATAATGGAAATTACTCCAGCGTATACACTTACGAATACTCCTACTATATTCAATAGCTAAAATTACTTATCAATATAATTTATAATTGTATACGGGAGAGCTCCATATTATAGTAACTCTTGACAATGCAATACAGCGCCATCTAGTCCCAACATAAGCAGATCTTGTGTACAAAGAAAACGCCCTTGACGCTTGTCAAGGGACCAGACTAGGCTACAGTTAAAAATATTTAGATTTATTTTATAAATACATACATAATAGAAAACACCCAGACCAATACAAACACCAATGAATTCAAATGTTTGCATCGTGGGAGGAATCGTATTTGCGACCGGTAAAGCAATGCGCTAATGCTAGACCACGGAGCTCGACAATGACATCAGTCTTCTCGATTTCCAGGAATAACCGTCCTACTGAGAAAATAGGAGAGACCTTAACGAAGCTGTCGGAAGATATGCTCACAAAGACGGACGAGCCCAAGTTGAACTACGCCGATCTGTTCCAAAGCTCAATGAGGCGACGGAGCCTCTGCTGCTGCATCATGTGGCTGATCATAGGGACCATGTACTATGGATTTAACCAGTACATCAGTCAGACAAGTTCTGACACGTTTGTCAGCGTTGCTGTAGCTGGTGCGATACAGGTAAACTTTTGTTATTTAACTGGAATGGCAAAGAAGTTAGAATAGAACAGAATAGGATGGTATAGGATATGATAGGATGGGATGGGATGTGATGTGATGGGGTGAGATGGGATGGGATGGGTTATAATTGAATAAGATGAAACGGGATGTAGGTTAGGAAGGGATGAGTGTGATATGATGGGGTGAAATGGCATGGGATAGGATGAAATGGAATGGGATGGAACGGGATGTGATTGTATGGTATGGGATGGGATAAAATAGAATTAAATGGAATGGTTTATGACGCAGACGATTTTTTACAAAGTCTCTCTATTAATGTATACTGTAACACAGTTTTCCTAGCACAGGTTCTATTCCATTCTCTTACATTTTATATTTACTAGATCTTTACTGTTCAAAGTTAACCTTTATCTGATTGTAACCAAGATAATCAGTTGATGCAATAAGAAGTTACATATATCTTACTATCTTTTTATCTGAAGTTCTTTTATACGACAAATGTAAATACCACAGAAATTGACATTGACCTTGAGATATGCCACATGATAAATACATACATACATACATGCCGGAACAAGATTAGGCATTTTTATTGATGGATCAGTTACAAAAAAAAACTATATTTTATTCAGTAATAACTCATGCTAACTTTGGTAACTATAGGTTAGGGTTTTATGCCATCTCCAAGTTTTTCAGAAGGTAATCTTATTAATATTACAAACGAGAAAGTTTGTGAGTAAGGATGGATGTTTGTTACTGTTTCACGCAAAAACTACTAAACGGATTTTGATAAAACTACATCAGAATAACATATACGCTATATATTTCATGCGAGTGAAACCGCGGACACAGCTAGTATGTTATATCATTATATTAAGACGTGAAGCACAAACTTTGTGCCTCTTTTTATTAAAATTGCGCGAACGAAGTATCAAATTTCTCTCACTTACAGTTTACCTATATAGAGAAGGAGCGCAGAATGCTATGTTTTAATTATGCATAAAAATACATTCAATACATAATATTACGTTTCACGCACAGTATATATAAATACATGTTGACGACCTCGGTGATCTAGCGGTCCAGCACACCGCTTTACGACCGATGATCGCGGGTTCGATTCCTCGCACGGCACAAACATTTGTATTCATGAGTATGATTGTTTGCCGAAGCAAACTGGATGTTTTCTATGTATGATATGTATGTATTTACAAAAAAAAATATATGTATTTGTATCAGTTATCTAGTACCCATAACACAAGCTTTAGCTAGCTTAACTTGGGTCTAGATGGCGCTGTGTGAATTGTCCTGAGATTATTATTATTATATTATTATTATTATTATTATATGGTATTTATGAGTATGATATGATGTATATGAGTATGATGAACTGATATTACACATAGAAACTCATATAACCTAGACAGGTTATATGAGTTTCTATGAGTAATATCAGTTATCTAGTACCCATAACACAAGCTCTGCTTACTTTGGGACTAGATGGCGTTGTCTAAATTGTCCAGAGATATTATTATTGTTATGTAGATAGATAAATAAATTATTTATTCATTACAAACATTTCTATTTCAGATACCATCAAACTTAATAGCTATTTGGTTTATAAAGAAATTTGGCAGAAAGAAAACAATAACAACAGTGTTCATCCTCGGAGGTACAGTCATCATTGCACTAGGATTTGTACCCAAGATATACTGGTTAACCTTACTTATGGGTACACTAGGCGTTAGTTGCGCAGGCGCAGCGGCAACCACCATATATATTTACACCACAGAACTATTCCCAACAGTTGTAAGAAACATGGGTATGGGTGTTTGTTCTACTTCAATGAGAGTCGGCTCTATGATCGCTCCATTCATCTCCAACTTGTCTATGACAACAACATGGCTGCCAACCATTATATTCGGCGGTGCGGCCATTTGCGCGGGATTTATTGCTCTTCTACTGCCAGAGACAAAAGGCAAAACATTACCTGATACTATAGATGATATTAAATCAAGTTGAGGTTATTAAATTGGTATGTAAATTTCTGAAATGAGGGCATGAATGAATACAGTCCACAAATATGGATTTAATTTGTTGTAACTACATGTAGAGTTACAACAATTTTTTGCTTTTAAAATACAGACTGAAAATATATTGACTGCGAACGAAATAATTACGAGTTTTAACACAACACAAAAATGAATATTATCAAAGACATTGAGGTTATTAAATTGGTATGTAAATTTCTGAAATCTGAGCCTGCTACAGTCCACAAATATGGATTTAATTTGTTGTAACTTAGAGTTGCCAACAGTCCTCTTTTCCCAAGACATGTCCTAGTTTTTGCAGTATCCTGGGAAGTCCTGAACAGTTATTCGGCAGCGTCCTGGGTTTTTAAAATATGCGCGCCTCTTAATTCATCATCATCGCAGACGTCCACTGCTGGACATAGGCCTCCCCCAAAGATCTCCACGACGATCGGTCCTGCGCTGCTCGCATCCAATGCCTTCCAGCGATCTTGACCAGATCGTCGGTCCACCTTGCTGGAGGCCTTCCCACGCTGCGTCTTCCGGTCCGCGGTCGCCACTCGATGACTTTACTGCCCCAACGGCCATCTGTCCTACGAGCTATGTGCCCTACCCATAGCCACTTCAGAGTCGCAATTCTTCGGGCTATGTCGGTCTCACTCTGGTTCTTCTGCGGATATCCTCTTAATTACTGATTTTCAACAGTATAATTTTAACCTGATTATATTAATTACTTCAATTTTACTACATATTAATATAACACTATTACGCGTTTTGTTTTTAAACCGAATAGTCTATAGGTTTTTTGAACTTTCAATCCTGGTTTTTAAATTTGGGCCTGGCAACCCTATTGTAAGTACGTGTAGATAGAGTACTAATATTTGCCTTTAAAAGACAGACTGAATATATCTTCGCTGCGATCAAAAAATCAACCTTCAAAAAAGTAATAAACAGAAGAGAGTTTTGAAGAGAGTTAGCATTTTAAATGGATTTGGTGAGGAAAATATTGACTACCTCGGTGGTTTAGCGTTCTAGCACAGCGCTTTACGTCTGATGGTCGCGGGTTCGATTCCTGGCACGGTAAAAACATTTGTATTCATGAGTATGATTGTTTGTATCGGTCTGAGTGTTTTCTATGTATAATATGTATGTATTTACGAAAAAAAAATCTATGTACTTGTATCAGTTATCTAGTACACGTAACACAAGCTGTAGCTAGCTTAACTTGGGACTAGATGGCGCTGTGTGAATTGTCCTGAGATTATTATTATATATTATATTTGACTGTCAATAACGTTTATAAAATCTATGTAATAGTTTATATAATGACACCCAGATATGACTGATGTAAAGGGATTAAATATTTAAACACCGAGAAGATCGTATAACCACAGATAACATAATATTACATACCTTTTCTATGTATTATTTTTTTTTTTCAAAAACGAAAGTGATGTTGATGCTGAAGGGAAGTCATGTACCCATACTTGTAATATTTCAGTCAACACTGGAGACCCTTCCATTAGTTTACGTCTCCACACACATAGATTTAAGTGTAAAACAGTCCGCATTACAACTCCCGATCCTGACTTATTTATAGAATATACTTTATTTGCAACATACAGTAAAGAAGAAGCACAAACAATATAACAAAGGACACATGTATCGTTACAATAAGGCGGGCTTATTGCTGAAAGCAATTTTATTTATATGTATAGATGTATAGATTACATAATAAACATATGCAAGAATAATTGAAATATTATTGTTATCATAATATTAATTCAAAATACATAATTCAAAAAATCATTTATTCATGTAGGACATCTTAGCCGCTTATGAACGTCAAATTTTTACATTATAATTTTATTTTTTCCCTACCGTCCAGTTCGGTATATAGATCCAATTGAGAAGAACTGGCAAGAAACTCAATTGAATTACTTTTTTTTTTTAAAGCCAGTTTATTTACAATGTATTTTTATATAGGTGTCTATGGCTAACATTAAATGAAAATTCAGTGCATGAACAACTATTGCCATGCACACTTGTCATTCAAGTAATCGTTTAGTGAGTAATAGGCTTTGCTCAGTAATAAACAACATTTATATTAATTATCATAATTTATTAATTATTAAAAAAATAGCTAGGTACTTCACATATCAGACAATAATAATATTATTAAATAGTACTTATATGTCAATTTATATATAATCTTATATGTAAAATTCTCGTGCTCGTGTCACAATGTTAGTTACCATACTCCTCCGAAACGACTTCTATCTATTTAAATCGGCTACTATCTATTTTTTAAACCCCTAAGTGATAAGGGTTGTCCTTGTTCACCCCTAAATATTTTTTTTTCGACATGATATTTTCTTTCTATTTTATTATAGTTTAACATTGAAAACTATATACAATCACATTTTCGCACCTCTAGTATCAACTCAATTTTTTTTAATAGCGATTTTAATTTTAATGGCAAAACAACGTTTGCGGGATCAGGTAGTTATCTATATATTAATTGTTTGTAGTATCCTTTTGTTCTTGTGAAAATAAAACGAATATTTTGTAATAATGTAAGGGATTTTTTATTTTGGTGCTCCGCTAGCGTAAATCGTTACCGCAGGCTGACGCTCCATTCCATTAACAACCATAAAAAAAAACGTCTTAGACCCTAATACATGAAGCAAAAACCTTGTACATCTACTTACAAACATTGCGTGGACGGTGGAGTATGAAATTTCGCTCACTTATAGTTTATACTAGCTGTACCCGCGACTTCGTCCGCGTGCAATTTATTTTTCTAAAATAAAAGTAGCCCAAGTTACCTATTATACCCTATTACATCCAAAAATAAGTCCCCTAATCGGTCCAGCCATTTCAGAGATTAGCCGGAACAAACAGATCGACAGCCAAACAAAAATTTTAAAAAGTGGTTCCTTGGTGTATTTATCGTATTTACATATATTCATATGCATGCAGTAAAAGACGGTTATTTCAATTTTACAAACAGACACTCCAATTTTATTTATATGTATAGATAGAGAAGGAGTGCAGAATTTCTTTTTATTATACATACGAAATACACTAAATTAATAAACTACATTACATGGTGTGTAATGTATTTTATTGTATTTAACACGCGCAGGGATATATACTCTTTTGTTTATTGCCTGTATGACTGTCAGCGCCTCCGAGTTATAGAAGTTTTTTTTCGGACTACTCTAATGCTGTTGGGCGCAGCTGGCCTTTACAGCTTCACCGGACGTTATGGGGCGAGTGCAGATGGCACTCCAAACCCGCGGAGGGACTTATGGAGCGGCTGAAGGCCAACTCCCGCCTGACGGATACGACTGTCCGAGGGCACCGCTAGAGATTCGAACCACGGCTCAGGCCGTCGTAATACCGATCCCCGTTTGAATTGGACGGGGGATCGATCGGAGGAGATTTTTTTTGTGTATGATAATGGATTGGTAACCTGGACACAATGTTGACACCGTTGCAGTGTTCAAAATATACTGGTTTTCGATCATTGTAGTTTTTTGTATTTTTTTTATAGATGATAATGGAATGGTGCACCCGCCTGCGCCATGATAAGATGATAAGATGAACATGAGGTCAGGTCAGTTTGCCAAATTCACCGGAAATTTATCTCGATGGTTTCCAGGGGGAACCGCGTGGAGGTCGACCTGGCATGGTACATTGCTAGCAATGGGATCATTAGTCCACATTACCCGATCGGAGGGGATTATAGAAGTATAGTCTTTGACAATAGAATCTTAATAATGTTCAAATTTATAATTTAAAATATTTATTTTTAAATTTAAACCACTAGGCGTGTAGCATTTATTAGTCAATTCCTCTCATACCTAGAGAATATGGTTTCTGCGTAGCTGTCCTCAGATAAAAATTACCCCGTAATCTGAAAGGAATACAAAACGGTTAGAACTTTATACAGAAGTCGATGTTATGTTTTAGGCGTCCATAGGCTACGGTAAACGTTTACCATCAGATGGGACGTATGCTTAGTTGCCATCGTCGTGGTAAAAAAACAATGACAATGACACCTCTAAAACGCACACAGCTCCATCTAGTACCAAACTAAGCAGATTATGAGCACTTGACAACAGACAGACATATTTTAATACATATTCATATACATATGTTTAAACTTTCATATTTAATTTACATTATTTAAATTATTAACCGGGTCTTAACACGAATAATTTTATGGGAAATTAAGGTATTTATCTACATTATATATCTACATTGACATCGCTGTTACTCCAATCATCTCGTGACTACGACTAGTGCAACCTAGTCGAAACGTCGAGAGAGGTAAATACCTTTATTTGCCATAAAATTATTCGTGTTAAGACCCGGTTAATAATTTAAATAACGTATATTTATATGTCTATGGAAAAATATTTTCTCTATAAATAGATAAAATATTTAAGGATATTTATCAATTATTTAATACTCATAACATAAACCTAGCATGAGACTAGGTGGCGCTTTGTGACTTGGTTTAATATGTATAGTGTTATACTCCTTACATAGTATAAAAAAACTGTATTACACTGTTTATTCCCTTACTTATATCCTTTAAAATACGTAACGGATTTTAATGCAATTTTCAGTGATAGATAGAGTGATTCAAGAGGAAAGTTTATATGAGCAGCGCCCGCAGTTTCACTCGCATGAAAATTATAGCCTATATATTATTCTGATGTATAAGCTATATTACTGTAAGGTTTCATCAAAATCCGTTCAGTAGTTTTTATGTGAAAGGGTAACAAACATCCATACTCTAGGCACAGAATACCAGCGCTGTGACAGTTAGCTGTCACGGCATATGCTGAGTGTCAGCCATGTTGCCAACCATATGTAGAAATAATATAAGATGAATTATTGTAATTGTTCTAAGTGTGTATGTATGTATATATGTATATGAGTGTGTGTGTGTGCATATGCGTATGTATATATATATATAAACACCTCTTTGGGCACTTTGTTGATCACGCCACAACCTAAACACTTGCCGATTCCACCTTTTGCACTGAATAACTTCACACCTATCGCGTATATCTCAGGCGGTATGGCAACGTCGCATTCTATTTTGCGATGTGGCCATATATATTCGTCGATAGTACGATATACTCGACACTTTTTTTACTAATAATTCGTGACTGAATGGCTCCGAACGGCTAAATTTTTGGTATACACAAAGACTTTTTGGCTCTGAATATATTCCAAAAATCAATTAATTATGTTAATCACTTTATATACTCGTCCTTACTGCGATACTTACTTTCATCCGAATATATATAGATACCGTAACGGTCTATCAATTATGACTTTATTAATTTACTAATGTAGATATTTTATATTCGCAATGCTCCATACATGCAAGCTCCAGCAACGGTGGAGGCAGGGTCCCCCTGCACCGTACACCGCACCCCGCGCACACAAACAAATTAGATATTTTTTGAATACACAAAGACTTTTTGGCTCTGTATATATATTTCAAAAATCAGTTAATTGTGTTGATCACTTTATATACTGGTCCTTACTGCGATACTTATTTTAATCCGAATATATATAGATACCGTAACGGTCTATCAATTATGAATTTACTAATCTAGATATTTTATATTCGCAATGCTCCATACATGCAAGCTCCAGCAACGGTGGAGGCAGGGGGGAGCACCGTACACCGCACCCCGCGCACATAAACAAATTAGAATAAATTAAATTCATAAGATTATTTATATATTTCGACTGCCTCGGTGGTCACACCGCTTTACATCCGATGGTCGCGGGTTCGATTTCTCGCACGATGCAAACATTTGTACTCATCGGTCATCGATTGTTTTCATCGGTCTGGGTGTTTTATATGTATATTATATATGTATTTACAAAATAAAAATATCTATTTATATCAGTTCAGTATCAGTCTGTGTTAATTGTCCAGGGTTATTTATTATATTTTTATAAACGGTTATCTTTTTCCATCGCACCGCTCGCTATCGACAGTGAATTCATAGAAATGTCACTCTAAAAACAAAAATAGTTTTGTGTTTTGTATTTCAAATACTAAATGCAAAATAGGTATTTTCAAAATACTTTTTAAAAATTAAGTACCTTTTGAATTTTTGTCCAAACCTCAGATATTTTATTTATTTTAGGTATATCAATCATTACATTGTAATATAAAAACAAAGTCGCTGTCGCATCTAACAGTACATAAACAAAGAAAGAAGACTTTGGCTCTGATACCGTAACGGCCTATGAATTATGAATTTATTATACCTAATCTAGATATTTTATATTCGCAATGCTACGTACATTGTAATATCCGCCTCCATTCATTGTAACGGTGGAGGGACTAAATAGTTGAATAAAACTGAATAAGCAGTTGCTCCACTCTATAGGTACTGCGTCGTCGTCGTATGCTGTTCATTTTTTCACTCGTTTTGGCGCCAAGAGAGGGTCACATAGTCGTGGTCAAGTTAAGAACTTATAATTTAATTTTGATAACAATAGATACAAGTAAAAAGTAGGTATTATATTAATGTACGTAAGTACTGTACTTAAAAATATTTATTCTTTACTGTATGTACATTTGAAAAACTTAACACTTAAGGACTTGTACATATACACGTACATACTGCCGTTTTCTCTTAAAGACATCCAGAGAAGCACTATTTATCAAATACGCGGGGTGCACCGACCTTTGACCTTATAACACCCGATTCGCGCGTAACGAATTACATTGCTACTTTTTGGTATTTTATAGTGGATATGTCACTATAAAATATTATTATTTCTTTAGATTATGACATAATAACATAGTTTACATGATTTTAAGGGAAACATACGATAAAAAAAAATCCCGTAAAATGTAAAAGATAAAAAATGGTTATTGTTGGTTATCCTTAAGAGATAGACATATACCATCACGGACTTTTTTGTTGACCTTATTTTGATACATCTCAAAGCACTAGACAACACGCATTTTCATTAAACAGTATTGTATTTTTTTATTTCTTTAACTTTAATGCACAAAAAAATTTGTACATGTGGCGGACTTAATATTTTGCCGCGTTATTTACCAGGCAACCATGAGTGGTGCAGCGAAAGATTATTGGCGGTGCACTAATATAAATAAGAAATGTCAAAAAAAGATTTATAAAGATAAGCAAAATATACATTTCTATAAAAAAATAACAATATACATACATAAATATATATCTAAATATAACCCATAAATGTATAAATATTATATATAAGTAAATACATAATGATCCGATAATCAAATTATAAGTAGTCTCAAATTGAAAGTAAGAAAATCAGAAAATATAGAGAGAACTATATGGATATAACAGAAAGATGTGAAAAAAGGAGAAGGACAGTAAAAAAGTTACAAATTTAAATAATGTTCCCGCAATTTCTGTTTAAATGAATTTATTACATTATTATATATATTAGGCATACGACTAGCCTTATGACTGTTACTTTTTTTTTAATCTATACATCTATACATGTAAATAAAATTGGAGTGTCTGTTTGTAATATTGAAATAACCGTTTTTTACTACATGCATATGAATATATATAAGGTACATATACCAAAATAACAATTTTTATAATTTTTGTCTGTCTGTCTGTCGGTCTGTTTGTTCCGGCTAATCTCTGAAATGGCTGGACCGATTTTGACGGTACTTTTTTTGGCAGATAGCTGATTTATAAGGAGTAACTTAGGCTACTTTTATTTTAGAAAAATAAATTTAATTCCACGTGGACGAAGTCGCGGGGACAGCTTGTTTTTAATAAAAACTGTTTATTTGATAAAAAAACATCTTTTTTGTGGTACTTGAGAATGTTGAAGCCTGTTGTTTGTAATATTGAAATAACCGTTTTTTACTACTTGCATATGAATATAAATACGGTACATACACCAAAATAACATATTTTACAATTTTTGTCTGTCTGTCTGTTTGTTCCGGCTAATCTCTGAAATGGCTGGACCGATTTTGACGGGACTTTTTTTGGCAGGTAGCTGATGTAATAAGGAGTAACTTAGGCTACTTTTATTTTAGAAAAATAAAGTTAAAAACCACGTGGACGAAGTCGCGGGAACAGCTAGTGTATAATATATTAGAGATACCTACGTGTTTTTTTATTGATGACTAGCTGTACACGGGACTTCGTCCGTGTTGAATTTAACTTTATTTTTCTAAAATATAAGAAGTTAAATTCCACGCGGACGAAGTCGGGTGTACAGCTAGTTGTCGGTAGTCTAGCGATTTAGCTAGCACACTGCTTTGATTCCTGCTTGGTGGTCGAGGGTTCGATTCCTCGCACGCTGCAAACATTTGTATTCATGAGTATGATTGTTTGTAACGGTTTGGGTGTTTTCTATGTATAGATAATATATATGTATTTACGAAAAAAAATCTTTGTATTTATATCAGTACCCATAACATAATCTTCAGCTAGCTTAACTTGGGTCTAGATGAAGCTGTGTGAATTGTCCTGAGATTACTATTATTACTATAATAAATCTTTTCAAATCAGCCGATGTTTATTTTTGCCATAATACGTGCTGTTACCATGTGATAATATTACGTACGTACTTATTAAACTATTAACTTATTATTAAATTGTTTGTAACGGTCTGGGTGTTTTCTATGTATAGAATATATATGTATTTACGAAAAAAATCTTTGTATTTATATCAGTACCCATAACATAATCTTCAGCTAGCTTAACTTGGGTCTAGATGAAGCTGTATGAATTGTCCTGAGATTACTATTATTATTAATTGGTACACAGGTAAACTACTAACTAGGCCATATTGGTGTTGTTTGTTATGGTGAAAAAACTAGTAGGTATATATATAAGTTACACGTACAATTTCAAAGACTTATTTCTTGAAAACTATTGGCTATTCTGAAATAAAACTTTAGTGTTTGTATATGTAATGTTTGCATATAAAATATGATTAAAGGTTACCAGTGTATTTACACTTTTACTGAACAAACAGAGTTGTTTAATACTGAAAATATTGTGTGGAAGGCATCAATTACTTTCAGTGCATGTATAGCTTTTCTCTTTTCCTAATTATTATTATTATTAAGTTTAAAGTGGTTGAATTTTACGTAAGGGGTTTTTATACATATTTCTAATGTACCATTTATTTTAAGTTTTTTAAACTCTATTCATCGAGACCTATCTAATGAGTCCAAACACGATATTTCTGCTGTAAGTTTTCGAAGAGTATGTTCATCATCTGATAATACTGGTGCCAGCATGAAGTCAAGGTTAACAGATAACTAATTACTTTTATTTCGTCAAAATCTTTAGATTACGTATAATAAATTCATAATATCGCTACCTATTCAAATCAAAACAAGTATTAGGTACTTCATGTACTAGTATATAAATTCATCAACACACAAGTAAATGATTTTTAAATATATTCAGAGCCAAAAAATCTTTGTGCATTTAAAAAAAATGCCGATACGGATTCACTATTGCAGGAAATTGTTGAAAAAATATATATCGAGTATAAGTATCTACTACTATCGACGAATACATTTGGCAACAACGCATGGTCTCGGCCGGAACGGCAACATCGCATATTAGAATACAAAGATAGTGATAGAAAGAGAGAGACAGTGGATCAGCAATATCTACGGATCGTGGCTGGATCAACTAAGTGTGCAAGTGTATATAAATATATATATATATATATATACATTTGTCTTTAATTCAAAGGAAATATAATTACACATACACATTTAAAACAGTATAAATAGTTAATAATTTAATAATAAGTTAATAGTTTAATAAGTACGTACGTAATATTATCACATGGTAACAGCACGTATTATGGCAAAAATAAACATCGGCTGATTTGAAAAGATTTATTATAGTAATAATAGTAATCTCAGGACAATTCACACAGCTTCATCTAGACCAAAGTTAAGCTAGCTGAAGATTATGTTATGGGTACTGATATAAATACAAAGATTTTTTTTCGTAAATACATATATATTATCTATACATAGAAAACACCCAGACCGTTACAAACAATCATACTCATGAATACAAATGTTTGCAGCGTGCGAGGAATCGAACCCTCGACCACCAAGCAGGAATCAAAGCAGTGTGCTAGCTAAATCGCTAGACTACCGACAACTAGCTGTACACGCGACTTCGTCCGCGTGGAATTTAACTTCTTATATTTTAGAAAAATAAAGTTAAATTCAACACGGACGAAATCCCGTGTACAGCTAGTCATCAATAAAAACACACGTAGGTATCTCTAATATATTATACACTAGCTGTTCCCGCGACTTCGTCCACGTGGTTTTTAACTTTATTTTTCTAAAATAAAAGTAGCCTAAGTTACTCCTTATTACATCAGCTACCTGCCAAAAAAAGTCCCGTCAAAATCGGTCCAGCCATTTCAGAGATTAGCCGGAACAAACAGACAGACAGACAAAAATTGTAAAATATGTTATTTTGGTGTATGTACCGTATTTATATTCATATGCAAGTAGTAAAAAACGGTTATTTCAATATTACAAACAACAGGCTTCAACATTCTCAAGTACCACAAAAAAGATGTTTTTATTAAAAACAAGGTGTTCCCGCGACTTCGTCCGCGTGGAATTTAACTTTATTTTTCTAAAATAAAAGTAACCTAAGTTACTCCTTATAAATCAGCTACCTGCCAAAAAAAAGTACCGTCAAAATCGGTCCAGCCATTTCAGAGATTAGCCGGAACAAACAGACAGACAGACAGACAGACTAAAATTATAAAAATAGGTATTTTGGTATATGTACCTTATATATATTCATATGCATGTAGTAAAAAACGGTTTTTTCAATATTACAAACAGACACTCCAATTTTTATTAAATGTATAGATGTATAGATTATTATTTATTTATTTATTTATTTATTCATCCAAAATAATACAAATTGTGTAGGATAATGTAATAGTAACATTACAGTAAAATTTTGTCAATAACATAATAGCAACTTAAACATTAAATCTCGGTATATCTATAGACTAGCTGGCCCCAGCGACTTCGTCCGCGTGAAATTTTATTTTATTTTTCTAAAATAACAGTAGCGTAAGTTACTCCTTATTACATCAGCTACTTGCCAAAAAAAGTCCCGTCAAAATCGGTCCAGCTATTTCAGAGATTAGCCGGAACAAACAGACAGACAGACAGACTGTACTATGCTATACTATGTATTGATTGATATACCTAAATTAAATATAATATCTGAGGTTTGAACAAAAACTCAAAGGGTAATTTATTTTGAAAAAGTATTTTGAAAATACCTATTTTGCTTTTAGTGTTATAGTACTTTAACTGTTATGTTTTAAGTAACAATGTTTAATTATAATTAATACTACTGCACCAACACTCCGATCGTGCAAAAAAATTTGCTGTTTCATTATTTTTTAGTTCAATTAGTGGTCTACCTAAGTTCTGGGCTAAGGGGGGGGGAGAGTCATGACGCCCCCATGACTCCCATGACCTCCATGACGCTCCCACCTGGATCCGCCGTTGCGTCTTCTCTTTATTCGCTCAGTAACGTTGTTACAAAAGAAAAGATTCCCATCCAAAAAATAACAAGTATTGAGGTTTGATCTGGAGTCACGTTACTCCAGACTGATTTCTATAAATATTTAGATTAGGTAGACTATTATTTTTGAAATACTAGCTAGACATTACTAAGTTACTGTAGCCATAATGTAGTAGCCCAAACGTGCCAATGAGGAAGCCCTTGGCAAATGCTGCACCCTGATTGGCCCGTTTGAATTGGATCAAGAACTGCTCGTATGCCAAAAAGGTGGATTTGTATAAAATCGTGTATAAATCGCTTAATTATTATTATTACTCGTCGTGACAGTTGTGGCTCAAAACGGATCAACATTTATATATGGTCATCTGGCATTAGATCAACAAAAGGCCTCCGGATCAACAAGTGAAAAAGGATCAACAAAAAACTACCTATACGGCACGTCTGAGCCACAAAGTGCCCAAGGGGATATTTATATATATATATATATATATATATATATATATATATATGTGTAAAATGTACATTTGTAAATGTAATAATGGTTGTCAATAAATGTTTTTCTTTCTTTCTTTCTTTATACTCACAAACTTTTGCGTTTATAATATTAATAAGATTATGTGCATATTATAGTATAGAACAAGCCGAGAAATTGAAAAATTTGTAATGCACGCAAAGACGAAAAGGGTCGCTAGTTATTATTATAAAAAAGAAGAAACTATAAAAAACTGTTACCTAACATCTGTGTGGGGTCCCATAACAGCTAGCTGGGTCTCAGAACAATTTCCTCTTAGGAAACTGTCATAGGAACCACATCGACGCGCATGAAATTCCCCACCAATCACAGCTTCAGACCAAAACTCCCAGGAGCGCCAGTGACTGCATAAATCTGAAAATATTATATGTAAACAACAACAGAATATTTTTACAATAAGATAAAAAGTCTACAGCCGTAGAGTGAACACAAAACAAAAAATATTATAAATTAAATTTAATTAAAAATTACAATTAACTTATTATACTAGTAGTGGTGCCACTTGGCTGATGTTAGAACTGAGAGTGATTTATATCCTGTTGCATTATTTGGACGATTTCTACATTCACGTTGTTCTTTTAAACTGATAAAAGAAAAGAAAGAAATATAAAATAACCCTGGACAATTCACACAGCGCCATCTAGGCTCAAAGTAATCAGAACTGATGTTATGGAACTGTGAATTGTCCAGGGTAACTTTTTTTTTTATAACACAGGGGACAAACGAGCACGCGGCTCACCTGATGGTAAGTGATTACCGCCGCCCATGAGCACCCGCAACACAGGGGAATTGCAAGTACGTTGCCGGCCTTTTAAAAAGGAATAAGCTCTGTTCTTGAAGGTTTCAATATCGTATCGGTTCGGAAATACCATTGCTGGAAGGTGATTCCATAATGTGGTTGTGCGAGGCAAAAAGTTTCTAGAAAACCGCACCGTGGAAGACCGCCATTCATCCAGATGATCAGGATGGTATTTCAGTTTCTGGCGGGTGGTACGGTGGTGAAACTCAGCAGTTGGTATTAATCCGAACAATTCTAACAGTAACTAAGATTATTTTAGGCACCGGTTGCCACTTTCCATCCTGTGGGTCGTTAGTTTTTAAATTCTATTTACACAAAGATCCTACAATACCTTCTGATGTAAGATAGAGTGTAGCAGATAAGCAGCCAGGTTGCTTGGCAGTACCACCGTTCGGCCAAAAGTCAATATGACCACCGGCCTGCGGAGTTCCGTAACCACTGCCATCCGTGTGTATCATGTCTACAAATGCTGCGTCTGATGACGTCACAGAAGATGACAAAACTGGAGGGTAGAAGCCAGGGTACGCTGCGTCCAAACACGTCAGTCTAGAAGAAGAAAATTGATTGACTTTAAGCATCCATCATACATCAGTCCACTATAATAATTATAAAAATCTGGACCAATTCTATAGTGCCATCTAGTTCTTCTAAAATTTTGTCGAGCGCAGTGGTGGCTGGCCCATCCGTCATACTCGTGAACGAGAGCTTCTTGTAGGGACTGGTCTTCTCTAATCACTACCACTGTTTTAATCCTATTGTATATTTAATATCTGAATAAATTATTGCTAGTTGGTAGTTTGTATCGCACTCGTTCACGAGTATGCCAGAGACAGCCATCACTGCGCTCGACCATATTTTAAGGAGTCCAATAACCCGGCCCATCACGTACCATACTACACTCTCCTATAGTTTCTCTTAAACAATTCGCCATGACTATGTATATATATTCATCTAAGAGTCGGCAACGAGAACATGACACTCCAGTTGTTTCAGGCGTCCATGGACTACGGTAACCGTTTACCATCAGATGGGCCGTATGCATTCCGTAGTTATCTACCACCAGCTTAGTGTAAAAAAGTCTAAGTTTTATAACTGACCTTGGTATGACGAATCCTCTCGCAGACAAATTCCTGGCCACCCCACCCAAGAGATGTGCCCCCAGGGAGTGGCCGACGAAGTGAACACCTTCCAAATTCAGACCATTCATTAAGAGCTTCATGAAGGCGTTGCTAATACCAACACTAGCCTGAAACGTATCAAATCGCGGCTGATGTAGTTAATATAATAAATGTACTGTACTATATATTATATTGTGTGCATTAAAGTTAAATAAACAAAAAAATAAATATAATCATCCAAAAAAAATGTGAAATTAAACACAACAGAGATAGAAATAAAAATGAATAATAAAAAAAACACTAGCTTGAATTACATGTTACTCATAATTTATAAATCTACATATAATATATACATTTATAAATAATATATAGATTTATAAAATATGAAGAACAAGTATTTCATAAATCTTTACATGTTTTATTGTTTTTTTTTGTCACGACAATCGGAATATTATCTTAGGACAGAATAGAATATTATTATTACATGTATGTGTGTGTGTTTGTGTGTGTGTGTGTGTGGGTTACTATTATTATTCGGAGACATTAACTTCAGTAATATTTTATCTATGACATTAGGCTATGCCTGTATCGTGTAAGTCGAAGCAGTCTTTTCATGGAAGTTTTTATATGAAATGAAATGTATTTATTTACATGAAATAATGGTATAAATAGATATATATATAATTGTATAATAAAAGAATGTCAGTATTAATAAAATAGTACACACATTTCGCCATTGTTTTGGCATGCAAAACTTTAGTAATGTACAATAGAATTAATGAATTTATACACAAAAATTACATTATATATCAAATTTAGATAGGTACATAACACTTATTTTCGTTAAGAGTCAATCAATATTGTTTAAAAATATAATATTAGTTAGGTAGCTACCTTGGACAAAGAATTAGTCTAGCTATTCAAAGAGGGAACGCTGCCAGTATCTTCGGAACTTTGCCTAAAGGGGCCCCTTTTAATAATATATTTTAGTTATTGTATTATATTTTTTAAGCTTTTTAATTTTAGGTTGTAGTTGTACAATTAAATTACGTAAATGATATAATTAGTTATAGTAAAATATAATATAAATAGTAAAGTGATAATACTTTGTAACTTATATTAGTTTATATGGTATCGGACATATAAATTGAACGCTAGGGATGTCAACTAAAATTACAATAATTAATATCAATAACAACCAAAGCAACCAGAATACGCGATATGCTTACATGGTAACGCATACTTACATGTTTCAAGTCCAAAGCTACAAGCACGTAAGAACCAAATGCGAGGTTGGACCAATCCAGTATCAAAATATTGTAACCGCCATTCTGTCTGTACGCCTCCACCACTGTCTTCACGCTTTCATCTTCTATCAGCTCTATGTATCTGAAATTAGCAAGACATAAAAAGAATGAATACTTTTTACAATCTCAAATAGCCATTTAATATTTCTTAAAATAAAATGAAACATATTAAAAATGTAATGTCCAATATATAGATTTTTTTTTGGAAATTTATATACATACTAGCTGATCCGTGCAAATTCGTCTGCATTACACTTGACATTTATAATTATACTAGCTACTTGCCCCGGCTTCGCCCGTTTGTACATGTATTATACATATAAACCTTCCTATAGGATCACTCTATATCGACGCATTCCCGTCAGGACGACATAGAGGAGCTCAAATGCTGACCCTCTATGTGTTGTATAGTTCTGGTTATTTTCTATGTATATTATGTATACAAAAAAATATCTACGTATATATATCAGTTGTCTAGTACCCATAACACAAGCTTAGATCAGCTTGGGAATAGATGGCGCTGTGTGAATTGTCCTAAGATATTATTATACGCGCTAATCTCAGGAACTACTGGTTCGAATTGAAAAAATATTTTTGTGTTGGATAGTCCATTTGTCGAGGAAGGCTTTAAGCTATATAACATTACGCTACGACCAATAGGAGCTGAGCTGAATGAAAAATGTTATAAAAGGTGGGGTCATTTCCCCACCTTTTGTTCATTTCATTCAACTCAGACGAAGTTGCGCCGATCAGCTAGTTAAAAATATTGGTATACAAGAAACTTACATACCCGTGTGCATACAATACTGTTGGTCGCTGGAGATCAAAACCAGGATTGGACAGCAATCCTGTGATATCTTTCAGTAGATATGCAGTGCTTTCAGTACTGTTCGAGCTAGGGATAGAAACAAAACAAGTTGCTTAAAATAAATACATATTGTATAATAATATAATAAATGCAAAATTATCTGCTTGTTTGGCGGTCTGTTTGTACGTACTTACTTGATAGCGGCTTTTGTATTGATTGCCGCATGCATCATGTAAAGTGCGAATACTGTAACTACCATATAGTAATTTTGATTAGCTGTGACGTGGTTGAGTGGAATGAGTAGTCATGCTCACTAAAATGTGGCGGCGTGGTGGGCCGGGTCATTGGGCTTCCTAAAATATGGTCGAGCGCAGTGATGGCTGGCTCATCCGTCATACTCGTGAACGAGTGCTGCTTGTAGGGACTGGTCTGCTCTTATCACTACGACTGATTTAATCTTATTGTGTTTTTATATTTGAGCCTAAATAAATTAGTGCTGGTTGGTAGTTTGTATTCACACGTTTCGACTTAAAAATAAAATGTGAACTTACAAGGATGCTTTAAAAGAGCAACATATAAGTTTCTTGCTTATTCTTCTTGTGATGAGACAGCTATCCGAATAAACGGTAGATTTAAAAAAAAAATTGACTATTCAAAAGTGCTTAAATTAAGTTTATTTGAATAAATGATTTTCTATTCTATTCTAATCTACTAATTATGTTAAAATTGATCTAGTTTCTATCAATGTGCCATGACAGGATGGTCTCCACCCAGTTCCTCCTAGAATCTATGGTAAATTCCTGTGAATTTTCCACGATGGGCTAACTGACCTGACCTCATGCCCATCGTATCCACCACTGGTGCCCCGCCAGCGTATACCGTTAGCGCAGGCGGGAGCACCATTCCATACACATCTGTTGACCGCCACGCGATTCCCCCTGGAAACCATCGTGATAAATTCTTGTTAAATTTGTCACGATGGGTTAACTGACCTGACCTCATGTTCATCTTATCATCCTACACTGGTGCCCCGCCAGCGTAAACCGTTGGCGCAGGCGGGTGCACCATTCCATTATCATCTATAAAAAAAAAATTAAAAAAACTACAATGATCGAAAACCAATATATTTTGAACACTGCAACGGTGTCAACATTATCTCCAGGTTATTAATCTATTTTGTACTTACCTATAATACCTAATGAGGACATCATTCAGATTTGCCGATCTGCCTTTTGGAACTGAAATATAAAAAATACTATATATATAGTGTTGTTTAAATGTTTAAAGTTCAGTCGAAAGCGAATATGTTTCTTGCGAGCTACCTAATACTATAATGATGTTTAAACTTTCGTGTTTAATATTATTTAGTGATAAAATACTATATTATTTTTTTTTTAATTTATTTATTTATTTACTTAATACAGAAAACATGTGTACTAATTTACTAAAGAAACGATGATATTCACAGAAGTATAAAACTGTGTTGCGAATATCGTCGCCCTCCACCTAGTATATATAATTCCAAAAACTAAAATAAATAATATAAAAATACATGCAATGTCGTTACCCATCACGTATTGTCCTTCCTTGTTAAAAAATTTACAAAATATTTAAATTTACCAAAAACAAAGAAAATTTAACTTATAAACAAAAAGAAAGAATGCACAAAACAAAAAGAACCTATTATTTTAATTATTATGATTTTTTCGTGACTTATTATTGATAATTATAGTATAAATAACATCTCTGGACAATTCACACAGCGCCATCTAGTCGCTAACTAAGCAGAGCTTGTGTTATGGGTACTTGTACGATACAAACAATAATACTCATGAATACTGCATAGGACTCCTTACATTAGGGTCGCTGGCTGGTACGACAATTCCTTATTTTTAAATTTATATTTTACTAGCTGTACCGGCAAACGTTGTTTTGCCATATAAATTAATAACGCTATAAAAAAATAGGTGTTGATGATAGAAGGGTGAAAATTTAAGATTGTATGTATTTTTGTATGTTGTATCATAAAAATATAGATACTAAAAATTTTGTCTAAAATAAAAAAAATTTAGGGGTGGACTACTCCTAACATTTAGAGGGATGAAAAATAGATGTTGGCCGATTCTCAAACCTACTCAATACGCTCAGAAAATTTTATGAGAATCGGTCAAGCCGTTTCGGAGGAGTATGGGAACGAAAACTGTGACACGAGAATTTTATATATAAGATATAGGTTGCTATGGTTTTGTTATTGTTTCTATTAATTCTTCTATTGCTCTTGCTTTCATATAGTTCATATAGTTTGTGACGTGAAATTAACCATAAACTACGCTAACCTTCAATCATAAGATGAGCCGCATGCATGATTGCCACTAAAAAAAGAAGGGTATATTAAGTTTTTAAGGGTCGGCATATATTTTTATAATATACTGTTACTTTTACATATTGCGCTTTTAATTACCAGCATCGTTGGCTTCACCGACCCCAGCGCTCTATACACAGTCCCACACAAATTCTATTGTACCGTGCGAGGTATCGAACTTGCGAACTTTGGAAGTAAAGATGTGCTAAACCATCTATCGAAGACATCAAATGTACCAGTAGGCCGAAATATACCAGCAATTTTGAATTATCACTTACCACTCATTGCACTTCGTATTATCAATCGGAAACTATCCTTCGAGATTGGAAATGAGGCGTCTCTCTGTCCATTGCAACCTACAGCTATAGAAATGAAAAAAAAATAGTTCAAATAACGAGAAAAACCAGAGAAAAATAGAATTTTCAAAAATATTTATAGCAATTGGCCCCGGCTCAGCTTGCATTTTTTCTTACGGATGATAATGGTATGGTGCACCCGCCTGATTATAGTGCAATAAGTATTATTCTGAACCTAAATGGTTTCAGACAATATTTCAGAGGAGTTATTCCTATCGCATACACTTAGACTGTGAAATTAACTACCTGCCGAGGTTTTCAGGCGTCCATAGAGAGATGAGCCGCATGCATGATTGCATGGGGTTTTTCAGGCGTCAAGAAGGGCATATTGCCATAAAAAAAAGAAGGGTATATTAAGGTTTCTTAAGGGTACGCGCACGTGTCACCCCTGGTGTTTCAGGCGTCCATAAGCTACGCTAACCTTCAATCATAAGATGAGCCGCATGCATGATTGCCACTAAAAAAAGAAGGGTATATTAAGGTTTTTTAAGGGTCGGCAACGCGCACGTGTCACCCCTGGTGTTTCAGGCGTCCATAAGCTACGCTAACCTTCAATCATAAGATGAGCCGCATGCATGATTGCCACTAAAAAAAAGAAGGGTATATTAAGGTTTTTTAAGGGTCGGCAACGCGCACGTGTCACCCCTGGTGTTTCAGGCGTCCATAAGCTACGCTAACCTTCAATCATAAGATGAGCCGCATGCATGATTGCCACTAAAAAAAAGAAGGGTATATTAAGGTTTTTTAAGGGTCGGCAACGCGCACGTGTCACCCCTGGTGTTTCAGGCGTCCATAAGCTACGCTAACCTTCAATCATAAGATGAGCCGCATGCATGATTGCCACTAAAAAAAAGAAGGGTATATTAAGGTTTTTTAAGGGTCGGAAACGCGCGCGTGACACCCCTGATGTTTCAGACGTCCATAAGCTACGCTAACCTTCAATCATAAGATGAGCCGCATGCATGATTGCCACTAAAAAAAAGAAGGGTATATTAAGGTTTTTTAAGGGTCGGCAACGCGCGTGTGTCTCCCCTGGTGTTTCAGGCGTCCATAAGCTACGCTAAACTTTAACCATAAGATGGGCTGTACATATAATTGTCACTAAAAAATACGGTGCAATAAAATGTATAAATCATTACACAGTATAAAGCAAAGTCGCTGTCGCTGTCGCTGTTTGTCCGTCCCTATGTAAATCTTTAAAATTACGCAACGGATTTTGAAGCGGCTTTTTTTAATAGATAGATTTTTCATTTTCAAGAGGAGGGTTTATATGTATAATACATGTCCACCCGTGCAAAGCCGGGGTGGGTATCTACTAGCTAGTACAAATAAAAAAAAAAAGAACAAACACATTAAAAATACTTACTGTAAACAAAATATATAAATAGTTGTACATTACTCAGTATCTTCATGATGAAGTCATGAATTTCTAAAAAGTATATAATACAAAGTCACGACCATTCGTATCTGTATGTTTCTCTGCTTAATTCTCATAAAGCACAAAACATAGTTTAAAAAATTGATTCGAATTTCACTGTACTTCAAATATTTTTTACGAAATTGTTCTAATCAATACATCACACAGAAATGGGATAAGTAATTATACATCTAACTATGTAAATTAGTAAATATATAAAAACTGCAAAACTAAATCTTATACTAATATTATTATATTACAGTACTCCAGTACTGTATCGGAACAAGTCGCTAGTATAAATAAAATTAACACAAGAACTGTTAACAACTACTTCACAATAATACACACACATAGATCTATGAGTAGTCTGCACTAACAATAATCAGCTACTCATATCTGGTTTCTAAATCAATGGGTAGCAGGTTCAATATAAAGTACACATGTCACGCGAAATATATGACAAACAAGACTAACTTGATGTTATTTGAACTTGCCTTCTGGTTTGTAATATTAATAATATTCTAATTATAACATAAGTTGTTAAGTTTTAATGATCATTACGCACATTAAACAGTCAAGTGTGAGTCATTAGTTAAGTAAAGGTTCCGTAGTGTAAATAAATAGATATTTTATTTAATTTCCATTCTGATTAATTTTGTCCATATCAGGTCAGGACCATTTCAGGTCGACCATTACACGGTCTCTCTAGAAATAGAAATAGAAATAATCTTTATTCAAATAAACTCATTACAAGCACTTTTGAATAGTCATATTTTGATTCTACCACTCATTCGGAATGCAGATTCATCACAAGAAGAATGAGCAAGATACTTGTGTGTTGCTCTTTTTAATAGATGTTTTTTTATATAAATAATTACAGTATAACAAGTAAGAGGCATGCGATAATCAACATAGAAATCGCTACGCACTCATTATTAGTGTAATTAGATAATATTGTCAGTGCTATGGATTTAAAGTTTTTCTATAAAAACATTATTATCGTTAACGAATTCTTCATTTTTATAGTAAGCTTTTTTGCAAAGGAACTGTTTTATTTGACATTTAAATCTTTTTTCTGGCAGATTTATTGTAAAACCTTACGCAATTGCCCTAAAACGAATTACTAACTTTAGCCAAACGACATTTAAGTAAAATCAGTTTGTTATTGTTACGTAAGCTTTTATTGGTGCAATCACTAACTCTTTTGAAACTGTCTATATTCTTCCTGGCGTACATGATATTTTCATAAATGTATTGAGAAGCAACGGTGAGGATTACTTTACTTACTTACTTAAAACACTCTCGCAATGACACCCTGGAACCCATACCATAAATGGAGCGAAAGGCCCTCTTTTGTAAAGTAAATATTGTATTTATATCAGCTGCTTTGCCCCATAACAAAATACCACACGACATAATGCTAAGGAAATAGCTAAAATAGACAAGTTTAGCCGTTGCCACGTCTGTGAGACAGAAACTCTCCTTGTTAAGTTGTAGTGGATTTATGCTCATCTTATTAAACTCCACTGGTGCACTGGCAGCGCAGACAGGTGCAAAAACTAATACACTCTAAAAGTACATATTATGATTATCATTCAGATATTTTTTGGAAGCTATCATATTATCCAGTATTAGGATATGACAAGAAACATTTATAATAACAAATTGCAATATTTTGCTTCGAATAAATTTCGTTATTATGATATTAATTAACAATAAATTTCATTATATCTAATGGTATTTCACTGCTTATTTCCTATATCATTATTTTACATATATCATTGGGCAAAATATATTTTTTTTATTTTTACTAGCTATGCCCGCGTTAAATTTCAATATACAATATAGCCTATATGTTATTCTGATGCATAAGCTATATTATTGTAAAGTTTCATCAAAATAAGTTTTTGCAGTTTCCATCAAAATGGTCGCGTTCAGTTTGTATTCATGACTACGATTTTTATATCGGTCTGATGTTTTCTATGTATGTTATGTATGTATTTACAAAAAAAAAAAATATCTATGTATTTGTATCATAATCTACATCCAAGCTTTATTAACTTGGGTCTAGATGGCGCTGTGTGAATTGTCCTGAGATTATTATTATTATATTATTATTATTATTATACTTACAAACTTTCGCGTTTATATAATAATATTATTAAGATTAAGACGTATATCATAAGATTTTATTTTCGATTAGCTGTACCCGCGACTTCGTCCGCGTGGAATTTAACTTTAAATTAAATTCCGTAAAATTTAATAAAAGTAACCTAAGTTACTCCTATTACATCACCTATCTGCCAAAAAATGTCCCGTCAAAATCGGATTAGCCGGAACAAACAGACAGACAGACAAAAATTGTAAAAAATGTTATTTTGGTGTTAGTACCGTATTTATATTCATATGCATGTAGTAAAAAACGGTTATTTCAATATTACAAACAGTCACTCCAATTTTATTTATATGCATAGATGCGCGGGACCCCAAGTGGTCCGTGATTCTGCGACCAAGGCTCATAGAATTATAAATAATAACAGGCTCAGCAGAATTACATTTTTATTGTAATCAGGAAATAAACACGCACACTTGACATAGAGCAGGTGCCACTCGCTTTATGCTTTTTATACAAGAATTTGAGTAATTACCCACCGAGGCAGATTATGTCAAGTTATCATGGGTATCAGTATAATAATAATAATAAAAATAAAGGGAGATATATAATATATATATAAAAAACACACACTCTGCACTTACTTGGTTTCGGCCCGTAAGTGTGGAGAAAACCAGCTAAAAGCTGAGAAAAAAAAAATCTACAAACAGATTACGCCAACATTTATATTTTAGCACAGATAACATTATATTACATATATAGTATATTCACTTAAAAATAGAACATTGTTGTGTATTTGGCTTAGGCCCGTACATACCAAGATTACCGGCGAAAGTCGAGAGGAAATGTAATAAAAATAATAATAATAATAAGACACACTGCACTTACTTGGTTTCGGCCCGTAAGTGTGGAAAAAACCAACAAAATCTGAGAGAGTGAGACGATGCTAATAATAATAATAATAATCCAAAACACTTCAAAATAGTCTGCAAATATTAAACATTCATCCATCCAAAACATATCTCCTACAGAAAGCCACAATATTAAATACCTGTCGCATAACCTGAAAATTCTTAACCTCCTCAACAATATCTTCACCCAGCACAACCTCTCCCACACTTGGCTAAGGCCCGTGTAGGTGAGTATTACCTTCTTAAATCTATAAAAGAAGAGAAAAAAAAGGAAAAAAAGAAAAATAATAATAATCTCAGCACAATTCACACAGCGCCATCTAGACACACATCGCCATAAACACAATTCACACAGATCTAGACCCAAGTTAAGCTAGCTAAAGCTTGTGTTATGTTATAACTGATACATAAACACAATTCACACAGCGCCATCTAGACCCAAGTTAATCTAGAAAGCTTGTGTTAACTGATAACTGATACATAAACACAATTCACACAGCGCCATCTAGACCAAGTTAAGCTAGCTAAATCTTGTGTTATGGGTACTCGATAACTGATACATAAACACAATTCACACAGCGCCATCTAGACCCAACTTAAGCTAGCTAAAGCTTGTGTTATGGGTACTCGATAACTGATACATAAACACAATTCACACAGCGCCATCTAGACCCAAGTTAATCTAGCTAAAGCTTGTGTTATGGGTACTCGATAACTGATACATAAACACAATTCACACAGCGCCATCTAGACCAAGTTAAGCTAGCTAAATCTTGTGTTATGGGTACTCGATAACTGATACATAAACACAATTCACACAGCGCCATCTAGACCCAAGTTAATCTAGCTAAAGCTTGTGTTATGGGTACTCGATAACTGATACATAAACACAATTCACACAGTAAATACATAGATATTGTACATAGAAAACACTCAAACCGATATAAACAATCATACTCATGAATACAAATATTCGTGCCGTGCGAGGAATCGAACTCGCGACCATCGGTTGTAAAGGTGTGCTATACCGCTAGACTACCGAGGTCATCGTCGTCGTATGACCTCGTTTAATGTATTCCGATACATCTCGCTCGACTTGTGGCGGCCCGAACTGGCGTAGTACCTCCAAGCAGAAAATTACAGCTAAATAGTGCTGTACTTGCACTGTTTTCCTGTGTGTAAGGTGACCAGAGCACGGGAATCCCCACGGGATTGGTTGTGCTGGTATTGTAGGACCTGTGTGTTCGTACCGCGGGATTGCATAGGCCAATTTTAGAACCTATTTCAGCCGCCAAACAGCTTGTAAGGCTGTGAAATTACAGGATAAGAGGCATGATATCTTAGTCTACTGGAATGACAACGCATGAATGGTATCACGGGTGTCACGTGATAACGTGATGTCCGTAGTGCTGTTCATGAAAATAAAGCCAAAGTTTACAACTTACCATCAGGTAGTACTTAGTATATTTGCTATTCAAATAAGAAATATCGTCGCTTAACTAGAAAAATTGCAGTGTTCAAAATGTACATTTTTTACAAGACAACCATTTATAGTTCTTTTTATTTATTTAAATAATTTTTTTCCTTTAAAGTTTTAAATTTACATATATGATTTTAAAAGTGTTTAGATAATGATTAAGACGGCGTGTTAATTTAATTGTCTTATATGAAAGGAGGCAATTCTAGCTTCTAATTTTGAAAAATTACATTTTTCTATTTAATCGACGGTATATAACAAATTTAGTTGTCTAATACTCATGAATACAAATATTTTTATCGTGCGAGGAATGGAACCCGTGACAATCGGAAGTAAAGCCGTCTGATAAATTGCTAGACTACCAAGGATGTCGTAATGTATTTCAGCTTAATTTAGAACAAAATGGGGCTGTCTATATTGGGTCACAATTTTAAATTAAACAAATATTTATATTAACAAAGAATTTAATAAAGTTTGTCTTACACTAAAATTTACAATACACTTACGTATCCTATGTACATGTGTTTACAATAGATGGTAAGAAACGTCTGCAAACAAAACTAGTATGTTTCACTTCTGAAGGCCACACGAGTTATCTCTGGGCGCTTGAAATCAACATACAACATTCTGGCGAAACTGGTCAAATTTATAAAGTATTTATCAAAATTTAATACAATTTTAAATATATTTAATTTACTATGCTTATTATATATTTGAGGATATTTAGGGATCATCCCTAAATTATGCCACATCAGTGAAATCAGCGCTTTTTTTATAGAGGTGTATGGGCTATTGCTTGGACCTGTATATAGATCTATTGCACTCTCTATCTAGATCTACATATCTCCTCAGATCTATTAAAAATTCAAAAACTGTGCTTTGCTACAACCACATAGGATGTGTAGTGGCGTGTAACTTTGTTATACTACAGTATAAATCCTGAAATCAAATTCAAAATCCTTCATTTAGCAAAACGATTTTTACTAAATTTAGTTCTCCTTTTAAGCATAAAGGGGTGGGAGGGGGATTGCCAGAGTAACTTAGTGTGACAAGGGATTGGAAGGGGTCCTAACGTAACGTCACATTTATAAATAATATATATCTACGTATTAAGACACTTAAGAATATTCCCAATACATTTACTGGTTTGTCAAATTGCAAAATATGTGACGTCACACTATCAGGGATATCAGGGAGGGTATTCTCACAAATGTGACCATCTGTGACAAGGGTGCGGGAGGGGTTTTGACACTGTCATTCAATTTTTGTGACATATTTTGTAAATGACCCCTTACCGAGTTTCATTATTTATTAAATATTGGTTATATACATCCGCCGCTATCTCCAGCCGATCCTTTATAATCTGGAAGGTAGTTCCGATCCAACGACATTGTATTGCAAAGCTTTTTATCATTTATTCTCTTGAAATATCCGCTAGTAACAGTAATATTTTTCTTTCTTTCTAATAGCCTAAATAAAATAAATAGCTGGTGTAGTGTCGGTCCCAAAGAAAGGCAATGTAACTTCATGAATGTTATCATATGCTGCATATGCAACTCCAGAGCAGTTAACAGGACGCTTGTAACAGTGTTGAACTTATCCATGGGACGATATTATACAGTTTATATAATGCATACAATTTTAATATACTTCAAGAGACGCGGGTAGGGTATTAGTGTCGGGGCCTGGAGGTCCCTTCCATTTTTAAGTACCGTGTAAAATCAAACTATACACGGCCACTGGCTTCACTTGAAAACATTAATTCACTAGGAATTAACAACGATGTTTTCAGGCTTTATTTGAGAATAGCATGCATAAAAATGCATAGCACACGCAGAAAGATTGCATTGCAGAAACTATTTCAGTAGAGTAGCAAACAAGATTTGATTAATATGTATGATTCAATCTCCGAAACGTCAATTGTACATAACGTTACACAGTACAGTAATAAATAAGAAGTTACAATGTAACTGATTCATTTTGTAACTTTATTAAAAGCTACAAAATCATTAAAATGGAATTAATACTACTGTTACATATGCAATATATGCCTTGATAGCATATGAATATTATAATGTTACATATGCAGCATATGCCATGACATATGCGTATTAATAGACAATACTGATCACTCACCCCGACATAATCTCTAGGGATGATCGACACCGATTTTTAGTTAAACAAAAAACATCTATAATCTATCTAAAAGCAGGTATACTTTTAGACGTATGCTCTTTCACGCGCGGATAGGATTTCATGCAGGAAAGAATGTGACAGTAAATGTAGATAAACAGAACGAGAAAAACCGCGTGCGTCATCAGTGAGCGTACTCCCGCGCCCTTCAATTCAAATCAAATCAAAAATCATTTATTCATGTAGGACATTTTAGCCGCTTATGAATATCACATTTTTTGTATGATTTTTTTCCTTACCGTCCGATTCATATATTTCTATTTGATGCTATAAGACATTATATTAGATCTTTTTTTGTGGCTTAATAGATATCTTTACAAGACTGGTTATTTCACAGGCGATCAGGAGCGCGCGGGAAAGACAGCGCGCGCAATCGTAATGCCCAATTTACACTCAGCCCGAATGGGGAGGGAAGTGAGCAGCGCGAGAGTGTAAACACGAGTGGAAACACTTCCAATGCCATTGGCGCTGCCACTCGCGCTGCCCGGCGCTCCCTCGATTGTCGGTTTTTCGTGCGCGAGTCAAAGGACTGGCAGCGCGAGTGGCAGCGTGTATTTACATTCAGCCCTCGCGATCAGTTGTCGCCCGGCAGTATTTCCGGCAGCGCGAGTGGCAGGGGAAGCGGCTGAATGTAAACGTAGCATAAGGGATTGCATTACATAATTTTTTGTGTTTACTCGTTCGCACGTGGTAGCGCATATGTGTCGTGTCATTTCACTTTCTTTTGAAATATATTTTTATTCCAATGATTTCATGAGTGAGAGTGTGAATGTACCTTTGTAAATTAATAAACTACTCAATTGTGAGACCAGTTTTTATCATTCATTACCCAAACATGAAACAGAAAACGCGAAATAATTTATAAACTATCACTACAATATTATAACTATAAAATACGAGCTATAATACAGGCATTATACATTTTATACATCATACAACCGTTTTATACATGTATAAAGTCTTATATACAAGGTCAATCGTAGAGGGCATATAACAAGTCGATAAGTACATTCATGGGACTGAATTACTTCCAACAAGAAGCAAATTGGAAATCTGAACATATTCTGAACTGTATGTAGTAAGTAGATCACGTGACCGCACAGTTTATATATAGGTAGTGTAGTATATATATATACGCCCAACTAAATATAACCAAAGATATATATATATATATATATACTAGCACACCCGGCCACGCGTTGCTGTGGCTAAGGTTTTTGAATAAAATATTGCGACTATAAAGTGAGATGTAAGCTATCCCATCTTTCAAGTTGGATCAAATTGCACACAATGTACAAATCAAACTTGGAGCGGCTGAAGCTTATGTGTATATCATTTGTTTAGTACTGAGTATTTTCAATATATATTACACATATATTTACATACATATATATTTCTATCATTTGTTTAGTACCCATAACACAAACTGTGCTTAGCTTGGGACTAGATGGCGTAGTGTCAATTATACTGGGTTTCAAATTATTATTATTTAATGTCCAAAAAATTTATATTCGATTATATAATATAAATAAATAAACCTGGGCAAATAACACAGCGCCATCTAGTCCCAAGTTAATCTAGCTAAAACTTGTCTTATGGGTACTAGATAACTAATACAAATATATATATAGGGAGGAAAGGATATTGTTAGTTATGTGGACTTATGATCTCATTGCTAGAAATATACAATGTCAGATTGACCTCCACGCGGTTCCTCAGGAAACCATCGTCATAAATTCTTGTTAAATTTGTCACGATGGGCTAACTGACCTGACCTCATGCTCATCTTATCATCCTCCACTGGTGCCCCGCCAGCGTAAACCTTTAACGCAGGCGGGAGCCCGAATGGTGCATTATCATCCACAAAAAAATAATAACAAACATACTCATGAATACAAAACATATGCATTGTACGATGTATAGAACGCGAGACCATCGGAAGTAAAGCGGTTAGCAGAAACGCTAGACGCCAGGACTATCTTAAGAAAAGTTTACTCGAATGCGATCTTATTTCATAAATATATATATAGAAAACACTCAGACCGATACAAACAGTCAGACTTAGTAAATACACCCTTTACGACAGATCTTGTATTTTGTATATTTGTCACATAAAGCTTTGAAGCCTGTTCCATACATTTTCTATACATAATATTTAATATTGGAAGTTTATAAAAATATTACTATAATAGTAGTAAGTAGATACTAAAATATTGATACCATTCAAAAATAAATAGTATAGACTTTTGTACATCAGTAACTGTTACCCGTGACTTCGTCTGCATAATCTTTCATCCCCTATTTCACCCCCTTTCAAATTACGAGATGTAATCTATTTTTATATTAAATTTCATTAAAATCCGTTCAGCTGTTTGCTCGTGAAGATGTACCTTACAAACAAACACACTTTCGCATTTGTAATATTAGTTTCAGACCATCATATGATCTAGAAAACAATATAAATCATATATTATCATTCTATCCCGTTCACACCAATCGCAGTTACTGTTTGATAGAAAGAGATGCAACAAACCACATCCATCCTGCTTACACAAGACGTAGAAATACCGTCGAATATATTAACTTTAACTACATTCACATTAAAATCTCATATGATTTTAAAATTGGTAGTTTCTGATAGGTTAGTTTAGTTTGGAACAGGCTTTTGCGATTTCTATTTGCCGTCATGAACAAGCCAGGTTTGTCAGCCGGCCAACTAGGGCGCGTGTGACCAAAGTGACGTGTGTGACGAGCGTGATGAGTGTGACGAACGTGACGAGTGTGACGAGGGTGACGGGGGTGCTTCCATCACGAGAGGCGTGACGGCTCCCGCGAGGAGTAGAAGAGTATGTACGCCGCGCTTGACTTCACTTCGCTGGACGATATTTCGGATACCACGTGGTCGTCGAATTTGTACCATCTGTAATAATAATAATAAATAATGTAAATTAAATATTGTAATGGGTGAAAACTGTGATTGGTACAGTTTATGCTGTCAATAATATAAATGACGTAGTGGAGTAACTTGAAACAGTCATGCTCGCTATAAAGTTCAAACTTGTGGCGGCGTGGTGGGCCGGGTCGATGTGCTCCCTCTAATATGGTTGAGTGCAATGATGGCTGGCTCATTCGTCATACTCGTAAACGGGTGCTGCTTGTGGGGACTGGTCTGTTCTGGTTGCGAATACTGATTATATTTTTTTTCCAATAGCAAATGCTGATGATCACTCTATTCTCCCAAATTTGAATTTAAATGAAATAGTATTATTGCAAATATGTACAACATTTAAAAAAAAATACGAGCTGAGTTTCTTGTCAGTTCTCATCTCGAAATCATTCCGAACTGACGGTAGATTTGACATATCATAAGAGTCTGTAATAGACCTACATGAATAAAGATATTTTGAATTTTGAATAATAATTTATCTTCTACTGGCGTTATCCCAAATTCTCTACACAACTCATTAAATAAACTGCACTTTAATAAAACATTCTTCATTGAACTCCAGAAACCTACAGTATTAGATACATGCTCTATAGTTAGAAAATGTTGAAATAGTCCAATTCCAAACATTCCTACTGATTAAATAAAAATATGAGAACAAGTGACTTGGTAAAAAACCCCTCCTTGTCTCTACAGAACCAGCTATAGCTGAGAAATAATATATATACATACATAATAATAATCTCAAGACAATTCACACAGCGCCATCTAGTCCCAAGTTAAGCAATCTAAAGCTTGTGTTACGGGTACTAGACAACTGATACAAGTACATAGATAATTTTTTTTCGTAAATACATATATATTATACATAGAAAACACCCAGACCGATACAAACAATCATACTCATGAATTCAAATGTTTGTGCCGTGCGAGGAATCGAACCCGCGACCATCGGACGTAAAGCGGTGTGCTAGACCGCTAGACCACCGAGGTCATCAATGAATACAATAGAATAGAATAAAATTATTTAAAAGAGCATCAGCTTTCCGAATGAGCGGTAGATTAAAAAAAAATGTGATGACTATTCAAAACTGCTTCAAAGTAAGTTTATTTGAATAAATTATTTTCTATCCTAGGAATAATCTTTATTCAAATAAAGTTAATAAAAGCACTTTTGAATAGTAATATTTATTTTATTATACAAAGAAAACAGACCGATACAAACAATTATACTCAAGAATACAAATGTTTGTACAGTGAGGAGATTCGAACCCCCGACCATGGGCAGTAAAGCTGCTAAACTGTATATGCATATTAAGTTATATACTTTATAAAAAAAATGTATTTAAATATTTATATCAGTTGTTTAATACCCATAACACGAGATCTGCTTAGCTCGGGATTAGGAGGCACTGTGTGGATTGTCACAGGTCAACAAAAAATTCAGAGAACTAAAATGTAATAACTCTATACTCTATGATTTTACTGCTAATTCTCTGTTTTCAATCTATAACACAGCTTATATGGCAAGTTCAGACTGAAATCAAAGATATAGTTCTCCGTTCAATCTATAACACAGATTATATGGCAAGTTCTAACTGAAATGAAAGATATAGTTCTCCGTTCAATCTATAACACAACTTATATGGCAAGTTCAGACTGAAATCAAAGATATAGTTCTCCATTCAATCTATAACACAACTTATATGACAAGTTCAGACTGAAATCAAAGATATAGTTTTCCGTTCAATCTGTAACACAGCTTATATGGCAAGTTCAGACTGAAATCAAAGATACAGTTCTCCGTTCAATCTATAACACAACTTATATGGCAAGTTCAGACTGAAATCAAAGATATAGTTCTCCGTTCAATCTATAACACAACTTATTTGGCAAGTTCAGACTGAAATCAAAGATATAGTTTTCCGTTCAATCTACAACACAACTTATATGGCAAGTTCTAACTGAAATGAAAGATATAGTTCTCCGTTCAATCTATAACACAGATTATATGGCAAGTTCTAACTGAAATGAAAGATATAGTTCTCCGTTCAATCATAAAAATATCATCTATATCAGAGCTGTCTAAATCAAGGCCCGCGTGGCATATAGGGCCCGCAATCTGAATTGATGCGACCCGCTAAATATTTTTTTTTTCATTTAAATGACAAAATTTTTATATGAGGAAATTATAATTTGATTTATCTGTAATCCCGTATGATTTGATGAGCAAATATTGAAGTTGATGTTGACAGAATTGTAAAAGACAATAAAAAGTAATACAATAATGAGATATTTTAACTAGCATTTTGTTGTTACAAAAATTTTGCGGCCACTGAATATTTTTAGTTATTTTTACTAGCCCTAGACCTTATCTAGTTTGGACAGCCCTGATCTATGTATTATTAATACGAGGAGCAAAAACTGTATACCCCTTTTTACGAAAATTGCACGGTCGGAGAATATATCGTTTTGCACATTATAGTTTATATAAAACGGTTATTTCAAATATTAATATTTCCTTAAAAATATGTATTAATAATACATTAAATATATAAGAAAAACTACCATGTATTTGACACACACGCATTCTTTTGTTTATTCATTACTAGCTACTCGCCCGGCTTTGCACGTGTGTACATGTATTAAATATATATATAAACCTTCCTCTAGAATCACTCTACCTATTTAAAAAAACGCATCAAAATTCGTTGAGTAGTTTTAAAGATTTAAGCACATATAGGGACGGACAGACAGTGACAAAGACTATGTTTTATGATATGTAGTGATTATATTCTTTTCAATTTTTTTATTATATATTCTATTCTATTTTACGAATTATGTAATATGTTATATATTATATTATTTATGTTTCATTCATTCATTCATAATTTAAGAGCTATGCTCTTGTCGGTGGAGCTCTTGCCACTTTCCGCGATCTTCCATCATGCTCTTTAATTTATGTTTAATATAGTATATTATATTATTTATGTAAATATGTTTAAACTCACTTTCCATATACATTATTTTTACAATACGCCGTATTCTTGAAATTCACAGTATTCTTGCAATACGCCGTGTAATGTCCACCTTCCATTGACCCATAATGGTTAGAAACCGCATATAAATTATATATATGTTTACTGGGACAGTGCAACGAGAACTGCCGCATATCTAAGTCCACCAAAGGGAAATCTATGTACGTCTGTTTTTTTCTATATGTATTACACATATACTCTTTGGGGTCGACGTAGAACCGTTTGAAATGTATGACTAGGATGGGCGGGAGCCGGGAGATGTCTAGTTTCTTCACAGCATCCCTCTTCTGTTTGCAGTTAGGACAGTTCCATCCTGGTATCGTTTCGCCGTTCAGGTACAGTCTGAGGCAGTCCTGAAATTAAAAAAACATATATTACCTTCAGCCATTCTTATAGTGGCGTTTGAGCGGTGTAAGGAGAAAGAAAGAAAAAGGAATGGAAAAAAGATAGAAAATGAAGGAAAGAAAAAAATGGAAGTAAGAGAGAAAATAAAGAAAAGAAGGGTATATATGTGAGTACATTGTTATTAATATTTTATGTTTTTCTACTGCAGCTGTGGTCCACGCCTCCAGCACCATCATGAGATTTTTTAACACTGTTTGTTCAGCGTTGTACAGTATTATCATGGTATTGTATAATGACAGTACACTAAATGCATTGTTATTATAACATCCAAATAAACAATTGTGCACTATAATTTTATACATATTAGATGGAAAATAGGTATATCATTGATAACGTATCATATGATTCAGCACCTTGTACCCCTCATGCATTGCCATTCGAAGGTAAGGTATCATGTTATAAAGCTGTTGAGGTCAGATTTAGGTAAAAGAGGTTTTATTTATAGCACAGGGGACATACTAGCAACTCACCAGACGGTAAGTGATTACCGGCGTCAGTAATAGTTAATAACTTACCATGAGGTGAGCCGCAAGGTCATTTATCTCTTACACCAAACAAAATAGAGTCTAAAATCGCAAGTGAAACTTACACTGAGCGAACAGCGGTTGGAGTTGGCGGGCAGTTCCAATGACAGATTTGAGAACGACTCGTACGTGATGCTCTGTTTGCTGCACACTTTACACATGACTGTCGACTTGATCTGCCCGTAGAACAGCTGCAGGATGAAGCTCTCCTTGGACTTGGTGTATTCGTACCACGCCTTCTCAGACGCTGGCAAATCATCCTGATCACAAAAAGATGATGGAAGGTGTTAGATATGCGTAGTGAAGACAAGTGAAACGTACACGGGTTCGTATCGCACTCCTTTATTCTAAGACAGCTTGATGGTGGGCGCAGCCACACAGGTGTACCAACATATCTAACAGAAGGTGAAGGAAAACATGTTAGAACTTGAGGTGTCGTAGAATACTAACATGACTTATATAAATAGATCAAACACTACTGGGGCTCTCTTTGCTTTTGGTGTATTCATACCACGCTTTTTTAGACGCTAGCAGATCGTCCTGACCACGGAACAGATGATGAGGAACATAATAAAACTTGAGATGTCGTAGAATACTAACATGACTTCTATATTTATATAAGTCATATTAGTATTCTATTTAGACCAAATACTACTGAGGCTGTCCTTGCACTTGTACTCATACCACGCCTTCTCAGACGCTGGCAGATCATCCTGACGACGGAAAAGACGGTGGAAGGTGAAAGAAAACATGATAGAACTTGAGGTATCGTAGAATACTAACATGACTTACATAAATAGACCAAATAAGACATAAGACGTAGTTGTATGCGACGGTCTTGGTGCGTCTGATGGTCGCAGGTTCGATTGTTTGCAGGATGAAAATACATTTGAATATTTGAATATGATTTTTTGTAATAGTCTACACGTTTTTTATATATTATGTACATATGTACACACAGCGCCATATAGTCCCAAGCTAAGCAGAGCTTGTGTTACGGGCATGGGTATACTAGGCAACTGTTATAAATACACTTGATTAAGATTAAGATACTTTTTTTGTAACAACAAAATAACCGACCGCCATATCACCATATTTATTCAGATTGAAAGTATTTTTTTACATATAGTTAATTTTGTTAATTAAAAAAAAATATGCCGTATGGTTGATTGGAAGAAAATGTCTGAAGTACTTAAAATGACTAAAAATTTATATATACTACAAATATTATATATCTTTTTATATACACCAACCAAAATATAGTCTGAAGAAATCCTTTTCCTAACATGACATCCTCATGAATCGAAGTTAAACATGTAAAACAATGGTCCGATTCTAAAAAAAATACCAAAAGAAATATACCAAAATGTAGTTTTAGGAAATTCTTTACCTAACATAACGTGATCATGATTCGAACTTCGACCTTAATCTTATAAAACTATGGCTCCGAGGAATCATTGGAAAATCGTGTAAAATTAAACAAATTAAGAGATTTAACCTTTTTGTATCGAACATTTAAAACGCAATAAACCGAGGGGTCAGAACGACCCCGGTACATTGACCTTCAGCTTTGGCGAAATAAAAATACACTAGAGGGTCAACTTTTACAGGTATACTGCGAAACAATCGATCTGTATGTTAATTAGCTCGACCGTACAACATATATTGTATGTACATATACAAGCAACCAGCCGCGACTTCGTCGAAGCGAAATCGTTAAACACTTTTTTTTTTCAAATCGGACAGCGCCATCTAGACCCAAGTTAAGCTAGCTAAAGTTTATGTTATGGGGTCTAGATAACTCAAACAAATACATTTTTTTTATTCATAAAAATATACGTAGAAAACACTCAGAACGATACAAACAATCATATCTATGTATACAAATGTTAGTGCCGTGCGAGGAATCAAACCCGCGACCATCCAACGTAAAGCGGTGAGCTAAACGCCAGACCACCGAGATCGTCTGGTCGTCGAGAAAATGAAATCTTTTTGTATGGAATTTGAATTGAAACTAGTTGATGGACCAACTATTGTTTTTTTTTATTGTCAACTAACTCCTCTCTCTCTCTCTTCCTGGCTATATATCCCACATGGTGGGGTCAGCTTTCCCTATTTTTGTCCGCCACTTTATCCTGTCCCGGACATCGTCTTCAGAGACCTCACACTCTATCATGTCCCTAGCAACAACATCTTCCCATCCCTTCCTTGGTCTGCAACTAACTCCTATGAAGATAATAATCCTGGTCAATGCTCGACAATTACTGTATGTCATAGGCTAGTCCCAAGTGTACTCGACAGTACACTTCGTGATAAATACTCGGTGAATATGCCATGATGAGCTAACTGCTAACCTCAAGCTCATCTTATCATCCTCCACTGGTACCCCGTCAGCGTTAACAGGTAGCGCAGGCGGGTGCACCATTCCATTTTCATCAATAAAAAAAAATAGATTCATTACACATTACTGGGTACAAATAGGTATCAGTTTTAATAGTTAGTACCTTATTGGGAGGCACGTTCAGCGTGAACTGCAGATCTAGATGCAGCCAGTCCATGAGGATGGTGAGGAACTCGTGGGAGTCCTGCTGCTCGCAGCCGCGGAACGTGCGCTGGTGTTTGCCCACCTCGTTCTGTAAGTTAAAAAACAAAATTAAAAAATCATTTATTCATGCAGGACATTTTAGCCGCTTATGAACTTAAAATTTTTTATATTATAAAATTTTCCCTACCGTCCTGTTCAGAATACAGATCGAATTATCTATTATATATCGGAAATTAATATTAATTACCCATTTCTATAAGTTATTCAGATTTTTTTTATAACACAATATATGGTAAGTGATTACCGATTTAAAGAGGAATTAAGGTTTCAATATTATCGGTTCGGAAATACCATTGCTGGAAGGTGATTCCATAATATGGTTGTGCGAGGCAAAAAGTTTCTAGAAAACCGCACTGTGGAAAACCGCCATTTATCCAGATGATCAGGATGGTATTTTAGAAGATATTCAGAAATAATGAGTGGATGTTTATTTAAATCGCATTAACACAAAATTAATAAAGTATAGGTATTATAAATATAGCGATGTTGTATGAATATATATATTTTTTGAATGACATAATTTTTATTAAAACAAAGACTTATCGCAGGTACAGCAGTAATCCGCTGTAACATTTTTTTTAAATGACATAATTGATTTTCCTCTTCCGTGTTGCGTTTTGTCCACTATATTTTATTTCCATAAAAATATTAAATTTAAATAGTTCTTTTAAATATCAGTTGCTTTTGTCCAATAAGCGTATAACAAGACCTCTATTATCCTGCTATTTAATAGAAGTTACGGTTCAAGATAGTTTGGATATTTCTGAACGCTTAGTGTGACCCAAGAAGCTTTGAACACAAGACAATTTTAGTAATTATTAAAAATGCCAAAAACAATCCGATCGCCTCCTAACCGTGATCAAAAGACTACGATGTCGGATACAGATATTACTAAAATTGACCATGACAACACATCGCCTATCACTCAAAGAACAAAACGGCGAAGAGGATCTCCTGCAAATAAAGAACATTCCAAGATATAAAAAATATGATGTCATGGCAGGAAAAACAAAATAAAACAAATTAGATTGATGTTGCAAATTAAACTCAAAATTCACAAATACAAGAATCAAACAAGGAAATTGAAAAAGCACTGGAATTTATTAGTTGCAAATACGAAGATATGAGGGAAAAAATGGAAAAATTAGAATTTAAAACCCATATGGCTCAGATAGCCTACTTGGATACAAGGGTTGAAGACTTGCAAAGGGTTATTAAAAAATCCTCCATAGAAATTAGAAATCTCAAAGAGAAGAACTGCAACAAAAAAGAGATGTGCAATATATGCAAACTCAATGTAACCGTTGCAGAAAGTGACATAAAGGATATAATTTTATTAAAGGGCAAAGGTAACAATAACACAATAGTTACGGAGTTTACAAGAAACATCCTAAAGGACGATATTGTTAGAAATGCAGACAAAATCCTAATAAAAGACTAAGTTCTGGTGATATTGGTCTAGCTGGAGAATCAAAGCCAATTTGCCCACCAATAGGAGTCGTATTTTCTCTGTCGTGATGTAAAAAACAAAAATTAAAAAATCATATATTATCGTCACACATTGAAATAAAGGATGAACATTTTCAAGAATGTCATATGACTAGTCTCTGTAGGCAACGCTATATGAACATAGGTTAGAAATACTTTTTATTTTTATTTATAACGTAAAACCTACATTACAAAATACATTATATAATGTTTCATATATTTTTATATACACATACACCGAAAAGTACTATACAACTACTCTATTTACATACATTCAAGTATCTGCTATGGGAATACAGTTTTGTTAAAGTCCGTAAAAATTCTTTATAAAATCTATTATATATCCAACATAGATAAAATATCAACAGGCATGTCATATTTATATTAATTAATAAAGTCAAAACAGGATTATAATTATAAAAGTTATTATAAGGAGTATATCAGATTTTTTTATAACTTTATATACAGAAACATGGGACAAACGGGCTATGATACGTACTCATTATAATCAGAATGATGGTATCGTTGTGTATGCAAAAGTTAATGTAAAAGAACAAGAACTATCGCCCATGATTATTATAGTAAACTCAGATACAGTTATAATAGCAATTTATAGATCTCCCTCATATAGAAATATTTATAACTTTATTACGTCACTTAATAATATATTAATTTCATATTCGAAGTATAAAAATATTGTAATTATCGGGGATGTTAATATTGACATTAAAATGGATAGTGAAGATCAAAATTCCTTCGATTATTTAAATCGGCCTTTTAATTTTCCTAGAGGAATATAGATCTCTTATGATCTTGAAGGTGTTCAATCATTCTCCAGTTCTAACTACTATCAAAGTAAATATTAAACTAGAGAAAACTCCGAAATACCAAAATTAACTACAATGCTGGAGAGGTTTTGAAGACATTTTAAAATCATCTGATGCAAATTGGGCGACAGATGTTATTAAAACTTGTCAGATCTAGTAGCAAAACACACGCATAAAATTTCTGCTCCTAGAAAACAATGGTGCGGATTACAGGTTTATTACGCTGTATTAAAAATAGGGACAGGATGCACGCCATTCAATATTAAACAGAACCAGATGAATTTTTGTAACGATTTGTTAAAAAGATTAAAAGCAATTTTGAACTAGAAAAACACAGAAAAATCAAAATGACATGGAAGATTATTATTCAAATAGAAATAATGAGAAACTAATTTGGATGTTTATTTAAGTCGCATTAACACAAAATTAATAAAGTATAGATATTATAAATATGTAATATAGCTATGTTGTATGAAAATATATTTTTTGAATGACCTAATTTTTATTAAAACAAAGACTTATCGCAGGTACAGCAGTACTCCGTTGTAACATTTTTTTTAAATGATATAATACACACATTGTCATTGATTTCAATGACAATATATTATATGATTGACAATATTTTTATCACTTTACCTCATGTACATTACAGAAGCAACAAGAAATAAAACTATAACAGTTCTGACTCTGACGAAGTGAGTTTACTCACCCTAAGGTCCTTGATGGCTATAAACCGGTACTGTCCCGACCACAGCGCTCGTACCACCGCCGCCAGCTCCTCAGCGATAGCACCCCGCGTGCTGTGTGATCTGGAAACAACACGACGATCATACCCACTTCTATATATATATTCTAATATAGCAGATTCTAAATTAATTAAAAGTTTATTTTGCATTGGTCCAGTCAATATTAAGTTTTATCTGCGTGTTAAATTCAAATTCAAATTCAAATCCAAATTCAAAAATCATTTATTCATGTAAGAGACATTTCAGCCGCTTATGAACGTAAAAAGATTTTTACATTATAATTTTATTAATTTTCAAATGTACCGTCCTAGTTCGGTATATATAGTAGAAAATCAATCGACATTGAAGAACTGGCAAGAAACTACACAAACATCACACACACTCATACACATACACACACACGTAAACACTATACACACCATTATATATTCTTTTATTAAATAGTATGTTTTAAAAATATACACCTTAAACAATGTATATATTTATATACATCTACGATATACTGTGTGTATTAAGATATAACAGAACTTTACATAACAATAAAAAATATGTCGTGCTCGTTAACCTGGTGTGATGTCAATCAACGTTTGTTAAGTATCGCACTATTAAACTTCTTCACATAGCTAAACTAACTTGTGTAACAACCTCTAATGAAAGGATATTTCAGAAATAGTTTCATTTTAATTATTATTTCATCGATATATTAAATTGACAATATTTCTATCACTTTACCTCATGTACATGATTACAGAAGCAACAAGAAATAAAACTATAACAGTTCTGACTGCTCGTACCACCGCCGCCAGCTCCTCAGCGATAGCACCCCGCGTGCTGTGTGATCTGGAAACAACACGACGATCATACCCACTTCTATATATATATATATATTCTAACTGTGCCCGCGGTTTTATCTGCGTGTTAAATTCAAATTCAAATTCAAAAATCATTTTGCGGACCAAATACATTATAAATTTATTTTTTTCAGTCCAGTATATAAACGAGAAGAACTGGCAAGAAACTCAATTGAAGGTATATTTTTATATAGGACCAGAACTGTAACAATAAAAAATATATCAGGTGTGATGTCAATCAACGTTTGTTAAGTATCGCACTATTAAACATCTTCACATAGCTAAATTAACTTGTGTAAAAACCTCTAATGAAAGGATATTTCAGAAATAGTTTCTTTTTAACTATATTGATTATTAAAACGAGGGATCGCAATGAAGGTATGTTGCGGACCACTGTACAACAGGTAAAAACGAGGGTCGCAATGAAGGTATGTTGCGGACCACTGTACAACAGGTAAAAACGAGGGTCGCAATGAAGGTATGTTGCGGACCACTGTACAACAGGTAAAAACGAGGGTCGCAATGAAGGTATGTTGCGGACCACTGTACAACAGGTAAAAACGAGGGTCGCAATGAAGGTATGTTGCGGACCACTGTACAACAGGTAAAAACGAGGGTCGCAATGAAGGTATGTTGCGGACCACTGTACAACAGGTAAAAACTAGGGTCGCAATGAAGATATGTTGCGGACCACTGTACAACAGGTATTGTATGTACATATACAAACAACCAGCCGCAACTTCGTCGGGGCGAAATCGTTAAAAACTTTTTTTTAATTCACACAGCGCCATCTAGTCCCAAGTTAAGCTGGCTAAAGTTTGTGTTATGGGTACTAGATAACTGATACAAATACATAATTATTTTTCGTAAATACATACATATTATTCATAGAAAACACCTAGACCGATACAAACAATCATATTTATGAATACAAATGTTTGTGCCATGCGAGGAATCGTACCTGCGACCATCGGACGTAAAGCGGTGTGCTAGACCGCCGGTATCATCTGGTCGTCGTTTTTCGTAAATATATTGGACATAGAAAATACAACTAACAATCATATTTATGAATGCAAAAGTTTGTGCAGTGCGAGGAATCGAACCTGCGACCATGGAACTTGCTGCACTAGACTAGACCATCGAGGTAGATTGTCAAAAAGAAGGGTTTGCTCACCTGTTAACGTGTCCTAGATACTGTCCCTTGCAGAAATACGTGACCAGTGTGTTTGTGTTGTTGAGACACTGTATTATCGAGTTCATATAGCAGGTGTTGCCGAGGTTCTTCAGGCCGGTGAGACCGCGCTCCTGGCCACAGATACAGAAATTTATATTTGTCACAGTACACTCCGGACGCTCAGAATTTGCGTTATGACAGGTCGGGATCGAATCTGCGATGTAACTTTGAACTGAGGTACGACCGACGTGGTTTGACTTTTAAAATCTATTATTTTAATATTTGTTAAGTAGTTAATAATTTTAGCCCAAAATTAATACGTATTATTGTTATAATTATTTAATTTTTAATCTTATCACTCGTTAATAAGGCACATAATTTTTTTTTTCCGTAAATTGTACGTCAATACAAAGTTACATCGTCCATTCGATCGCGACCTGTCAAAACTCTGTGCAGCAATATTTTAGTTAGTATAGTCGTCACGGCACATGCTGAGCGGAGATCTACTTAGTACCTCAATTGATGATCCGAATTGTAATTGGATTTTCTGAATTATATATTTTATGAGTATCAAATAAGCATTTTTTCTTTGAGTAGTTCATTTGATTTTGGAATACAGAAGAAACTAGAAGTCGTATAGACATATGTTCTTATTAATTATACATAAAACTACGAATGTCTCTCATAAAATAAATGGGGACGAAGTCACAGCATCATATCATCATACATGTCATATATCATAATATCATTGTTATATTACATATCGTAGATTAAATAGAAAAATGTCATTTTCAAAATTACAAGCTAGAATTGCCTCCTTTCATATAAGTCAATAAAATTAACCACGCCGTCTTAATCATTATCTAAATACTTTTAAAATGATATATAACACTTCTGTGTAAATTTAAAAATTTTAAAGGACAAAATAATTTATTTAATAAAAAAGAAACTTTAAATGCTTGGCACCTGCTCTAAGTCAAGTATGCGTGCTTATATTATCTAAATACTTTTAAAATGATATATAATACTGCTGTGTAAATTTAAAACTTTAAAGGGAAAAATAAATTAAAAAAAAAAACCTTAAAATGCTTGTCTATGTACTAAAAAATGTACATATTGTAATACTGCTGTGTAAATTTAAAACTTTAAAGGAAAAAATAAATTAAAAAGAAACTTTAAATGCTAGTTTTGTAAAATAAATGTACATTTTGAATACTGCAATTTTTCTATTTAACCGACGATGTATAAACAATTAAAAGAGATTTATCTGCTTAACGTAAAAAAAACTCTTCTATCTTTACAAAATTGATAGCACAGCTATATAACAGTGTGTAGGACAAATTATAGCAAAATACATTACTATGACTTCTGTATTAGTCAAACTGTGGTATCAGATAAAGTAGTAGAGCTACGACTTATTTAGTTTGTTATGATTCTGATTATCCACGGTGGTGTAGTGGTTTAGCATACCGCTTTAATAGTCGCGGGTTCGATTCATACGGTACAAACATTTTGTATTCAAGAATATTATTGTTTGTATCGGTGTGGGTGTTTTCAAAAAAGTTTACATATATATATAATTTACATTTTTTACATATATATAATATCTCAGGACAATTCACACAGCGTCATCTAGTACCAAGCTTTATGTTATGGGTACTAGACGACTGATAAAAATACTAAAATTTAAAATATATGTACATAGAAAACCGCAGACAAATAACAAACATGGGGGGGAAATGGGATTGTTAGTAATGTCGACTAATGAACCCATTGCTGGCAATGTACCATGTCAGGTTGACCTCCACGCGGTCCCCCCTGGAAACCATCGTGATAAATTCTTGGTGAATTTGTCACGATGGGCTAACTGACCTAACCTCATGCTCATCTTATCATCCTCCACTGGTGCCCCACCAGCGTAAACCGTTAGCGCAGGCAAGAGCCAAATGGTGCATTATCATCCACAAAAAAAAAATAACAAACATACTCATGAATACAAAACATGTGCATTATACGATGTATAGAACGCGAGACCATCGGAAGTAAGACGGTTAGCAAAACCGCTAGACGCCAGGACTATCTTAAGAAACATGTACTCGAATGCGACCTTATGTCTATTCTATTCTATTATACTCACTCGTCGGAACAGCCAAACGATATGGTTCTGCGAGTACTTGAGCCTGACCTTCACCTTCAGCACCATGTTAGCCGTGTCCAGTGGTATACATCTTTGTTCGTACTTGAGAATTTTGTTCGACCTTATTTATTTTTATGCAAAGATTTCTCAACTGTACTTTCCTTTGTTTACCGAAACTTGAAATCAATACTGATATACACTAAATAGTTTATGTAGGCAAGGTAGTTCAATCAACAAGAACTATTACAGTTTGAAACTATATTTTAGCATATCATACCTCAATTCTTGAGGAAGATTATAAGCTATATAGTATCAGCTTAGATTTTGGACTACGTAGCTTTGAAGCTGAAGAAACGGCCGCACACGTATTCCTAGATCGCGTAGCAGTGGCCACACAACGCACACAATTCCTCTGAACGGTGAGGTCGCTCCGTGAACCCTGTGAAAACACCAGGAGGCTTCTGCGCTTCTAGAAAGTTGGCTGGCTACTTTAGTAGTCTCAGCTTTACACGCACAACGGCCCAAATTAGAGGCTATGTCCGGAGAATAGATTCCAATTTACATTTACAACACTCTAAGATCCTTAGGAGCCGGACAAAACGATAAGTCAGGAATAGTCCAGATAGTTAAATTACAATATAACGCCACAGCCTTTGTTTTATTTTAAACATTGACTGGCCCACATATAGTATTTCATAAAAGTTCTTTTTTCTTTTATTAACTTTATGCACTAGATTACTTATTTCATCTTTTATATTTCTAATGTCTTGCTGATTTTATCAATTCCTTTTCACTAGTCTTTCTCTTCAAAAGTTTCATACAAAGTATTATAAAAGTTCTTTTCTTTTATTAATTTGTTTCTTCTATTAACTTTATATTAGAGTACTTTGTAGTAGAGTTATTATTTTGTCTTTGTCCTTGCTTTGTCTTTGTCCTTTATTAACATTATATATATAAACTAAAGTACTTCTTTCGTCGTCGATATTTCTTATGTTCTTGTTGATTTTATTAATACAGTTTCACTAGTCTATCCACTCTTCAAAATGTTATTCTTGATGATTTTAACACTTCGTTTCACAACTAAATCTTTTATTATGTATTTGTAAATTTTCTTTTACTTAGCTTTATTCCTGGTATCTTTTACTTTAGGCACTTTTTAAAGGCTTTATTCGAGTTTGTTTGTTTAGATGAATAATGAAAGTCACTACTATAATTATAACACTTCATATTGTCTATTGGTAATATAACTACACTATGTTTTAAAGACGGAGAGAACCGATTTTGTTATATACAGGCAAATCCGGTACCACTGAACCGATTCAAAAAATTCTTTCATAGTTTGAAAGGCACATTATTCCAGAAGCACATAGAATATATCTTAAGTTAATATATATAAATCTTAGAATATTATAATCGTCCAAGCGAAGCCAGGACGGATCAAAGACAGTTAGAAAATAGTTTTTTAGCTATATTTTATATATATTAGATATTTTAGATATTTCTATATCTTGACAATGGAAACAATAATACGCATAATACAAGTAAATAAAAAAGAAAAACAGCCGAAACTACACTAGTCAAGCTCCGCAACATTAGAAAAATCAAACGATTTTAGACTTTACACTTTCAATGCATAAGTTTCAAAATAGCTTTGTGTAAACAATTTTATAGGTCTTTGGAAATCCATAAACAATGTTTTGTGTGTGCGTGCCCGCAAACGTGTTGCCGTGAGCATAGTTGTGGAAATACTGATTCTCACGTGGCCCGTCTGAGCTGCGAAGTGAAATGGGGTGGCAAGGGTTGGGGGTGTGTAGGGTGACGACATTTCGCGGCGGACAGTGACTAGTGAAATTTATTTCTTTTTAATTGACGTCGTAAATTTGTTATAGATACATAAAATATAGAAGAAATAGTAGAACTCGAATACTATATTACTATATAGCATTAACTTACTATATATTACTAGCTGACTCGGCAAACGTGGTTTTGTCATATATATTAAAATCACTATTTAAAATGTTCAGACTTCTCCAACCAACCAACTTCCAACCCCTATGGTTGGTGATAGAAGTATGAATATTTAGGGTTGTATATATTTTTAAATACAACATCTATATCTATAAATAAAATTAGAATGTCTGTTGGTAATATTGTGAAATAACCGTTTATTCGATTTGTAGAATCAAAAATATGACTATTCAAAAGTGCTCTACATGACGACCTCGGTGGTCTAGTAGTCTAGTGGTTTAGCACACCGCCTTACCTCCGATGGTCACGGGTTCGATTCCTCGCACGGCACAAACATTTATATCCATGAGTATGATCGTTTGTATCGGTCTGGGTGCTTTCTATGGTATGTGTGTACGAAACGAAAAAAAATGTATCAGTTATCTAGTGCTCTAGCTGGCTTAACTTGGGTCTAGATGGCGCTGTGTGAATTGTCCTGAGATTATTTCTATTTCTATACATGAATAAATTATTCATTTTTTAATATTCATTTATATCTTAACACGTTTAATTTTTCTTTTCTTTTGTGAAATAATTAATTACTAAGTACATTATTTTTGACTTGATTAATGATACGAAACGTTAACGTTAGCCTAGTCCGTTAGTTAGCATTTTTTCGTACTATTCTAATGCAATTTTTTTATAGCATAGGGGACAAAATAGCTTGCGGCACACCAACAGCTTTTGCTATTCGAACTGTTATGGCAAACAAGCTGATGTTGTAATAATCTTTATTTTCATATTCATAAGGCATTACGCAAGGTATAGACCCAGAGTTAAGCTAGCTATAGCTTGTGTTATGGTATAACGGATACCAATATTTTCATTTCATATATACATACATATTATATATAGTAAACATCCAAACCGATACAAACAATCATACTCACGAATACAAATGTCTGTAACGTGCGAGGAATCGAACCCGCGACCATCGGAAGTAAAGCGGTGTGCTAACCGCTAGACCACTGAGGCCATAAAAATACT